TGTCTTTTACAATGTTAGTTTTTGCCGATGATGATGGTGTAGCCCAAATTTCCACAATCTGTTACAACGTACTAAGCGTATTAACTTACGTTCAGTAAAAATTATATATCAAAAAAAAAAAAAAAAAAGCCTACCTACCGACCCACTCCTTATAACTCTGGGTCGGCAATAGCAAACATATATATTATTAAGGATGGCCTCAAAAGTAGTTTTTAGATTACCAACAAAATGTCACCTATATTTAAATACCAACTCTATATAATATAATGCTGCCAGTTGGATGATGTAAATGATATGAGCCGCGTCACGACAAAACCAACATAATTGGTTTGCGACCAGCATGGATCCAGACCAGCCTGCGCATCCGCGTAGTCTGATCAGGATCCATGCTGTTCGCTATAAGTTTCTCTACTTGTAATAGGGTTGGTAAGCGAACAGCAGGATGCGCAGGCTGGTCTGGATCTATGCTGGTCGCAAACCCATTATGTTGGTTTTGTTGTGATGCAGCTCATATATAGATTGCTAGGTTTGATTAAGGTAAAAACATTAGGTCTTCATTTACCCTTACCACCTTTAATATCCCTTATTTACCCTTAATACCACCCTAAACAGACTTCAAATTTCTTTTTTTGCTTCTCTCGCTTAATTAATCATATCTATAAATATTAAGTATTAAATATTGGTAGGATAAAAAAAACAACAATAGAACTTGTAAAATAAATTTCTTGTTTTGCTGTCACCTGTCTGAAGATTGCCAAGATTTGGTGTTTGGCAAGTTTTCAACATATTGCATGGTGTTACAAAATAATAAAGTTATCATTAATTTACAAGCACTTCAGTTAATTAATAAAATCTAATATATTATATCATTGAGCAGCTTGCTAGATGATGAAAACCTGTCACATTATGACATATAGTTGCCAGTGCTTTCAACCTTTCACCTACTGTCAGGGTTTTCATTATTAAAGGGACTCCACTGAGGTTTAAAAGCCTAAAAACATAACATTTCGCGAATGATCTGAAATTTTGCACAAAGATTAATGGTCTAAACCTACATCAAAATAAATGGTACATTTATCTGGAAAAGAATATTTTCAGTCCCATCATGTCATAAAACGTCAGTGGAGTCCCTTTAACCAATTGGTGATCCAAACCATCGGTTAAAATGCTGTTAAAGCTGCACGCCTCCAGATGAGCCAAAATATTTTAAGAAAATAAATATTAAGAAAAAATGTTTTAAGAGAGGTAAAAACATTTAAGATCTAAGTTATATTTAAAATGTTACGTGCTGTTTAAGACTGATTTTTTCAGTATTTTATCACCATATTTCTACTATATGTGTTACTAATGCTGTTAGGGCTGTTTTAAGTGTTTTTGCATATGTTGACCACTGTTTGGTAATTTTCATGGATTTTTTTTTGTTAGTGCCAATTGCAACATATAAATTACTTTATTTGTTCTCCTCACAATATTTTACTTTAAATACATTTCCAAAATTTTCATTAAAAAGTCAGAATTCTCCGGTGTCTGGTCATGCTCATGTCAAAGTATGGGGAAAACCCCTGTAGTCAGACCAGCAAGCAAATCCCTCAAGCACACAGATAGATACATATGAGCCGCGCTATGACAAAACCAACATAATGCGTTTGCGACCAGCATGGATCCAGACCAGCCTGCGCATCCGCGCAGTCTGATCAGTATCCATGCTGTTCGCTATAGGTTTCTCTACTTGTTATAAAGTTGGTATGCGAACAGCATGGATCCTGATCAGACTCAGGGCGGATGTGCAGGCTGGTCTGGATCCATGCTGGTCGCAAACCTATTATGTTGATTTTGTCATGACATGGCTCATATTTAAATGATCAATATTATGTTAACATCAAAACAGCCTCCTGTATATTGGGATGGATGGGGATGGGGGAGGGGGTAAATAATCATAAATCTGTCGGCGAGATAATCTTGGATAATAATTATTTACCTGTAAATCACAAAGAATATTCCCTCATCTTTACTCATTATCCTCCTCTATTCAACTTTTTCTAATGTCAAAACTGTTATCTAAGTTTGTATTGCACTCAAAATCTTTACTGAATGGTAATTATACACTGAATACCTAAGATCTGCACTCAAATTTCTTGATAAAAGACATTGCACTAAAATTCCATATTAAATTTAAGACATGCACTCAAAATTCCTACTGTTTTATAATATAACATCTGCACTCAAATTTTGATATCGAGACTTGCACTCAAGTTCCTTCTTCAACTTAAGACGTTACAATCAAAAATACTTCTCAATGCACTCAAATTCCATTTTTTTTACAGAAAGTATGCACTCAAATTCCTTCTTTATACAGCACACAAATGAATAGACTAACAAATGAAGGAAGTTCACTCAATTTAAACTCACTTGCAAGTAAAAATGATTAACTCAAATACCTTATGTCTTATACTTGAATATCCACAAACACACACTTAATATGTTATTTCCAAAACATCTGTAACTGTCTTTCATTAATAGAGTGGTGCAAATTTTGGCAAACAAACATTAATATATATTTTCTAGCTTCAGGTCTTGCACCACTAAATTCAATCCTTCATCAAACATTGAGATAACCATCTCTTTTCTCCGTTAAACACACACAACAAAAAAATCACTTTGCAGTGCCTGAAGCCATACTCTAACATTATAAACAAAACACTGTTTTAACTAGTTAAACAGATTTTATCAAGGGGATTAAGCACGAGTTAGCTCTTCATCTTTTCTCAGCAATAATCAAAGCACTTAGGAAGGATTTATATATTCCAAAAAAACAAATAAGCTTTGATAAAACATGTTCTGAGGCAGGAAAACTGTCTTGGAAATTCCAGCTGATATACTCTGAGGTTAAAATAGCTTTCCTTATCTAACTTATGTTTTCATGATGAGGGTCGGTCCATAAATATCAACACAGGAAAATGTGTGAATAAAAAATTATTCTGAGAAAAACGTCATGTCAAAGGGGAGGTAATAGATTTGTCAAAGGGAGGTAACAGATTTGTCAAAGGGTGGTAATAGATTTGTCAAAGGGAGGTAATAGATTTGTCAAAGGGAGGTAAAAGATTTGTCAAAGGGAGGTAATAGATCGATGTTCTAAACAAAAGCACCCACATGTCGTACCATGGTTCATCTGCGTAACGTTTTAAGGCACACAAACCCTGTCATTGAAAAACTAGACCATGGCTAATTGACACTGCAATAAAAGATTATGAAATAGTAAAGTTGGTTGGTTTTGTGTAAATTTTGATTATTTCTAAAGGAGTCTTTAAACTTTAGTTTTAAACAGAATTTATTTTAATTTGATAGTTTTTTGCTTTGTTTTTTTTAGTTGAGTTTTATGCTAACACAGAATACATAATATGGCGACTTTCCAGCTTTACTGGTGAAGAAAGACCTCAGGTGCCCCTTCTTGTATTATGCAGCACAATGGGCCTTTAATTTATTCAATTTAAATACTTTAACAAGCATACACCAGTAACAACCAAACCTTTACCATAAAATCATAAAAATACATAAAAATTGTGAACTTTTTGATTGGCCCTCATCAGATAAACATTTTAGCTGCTGTCATAAAGAGAGAGAGGGGTGTTTGTTGTATTATTTGGCAGAGGCTTATCAGGTGAGGTATATAAGCCAGTACATATAATGTTTGAAATGTCAGTCTAACAGAGTTGCTGCAGCAAAAAAAAGGTTATAAACACCTGCTATTGTGTAAATCTTGACCCCTCTTATCACCACCCATCCTAATGGGACTTTAATGTCCAATCTGGGCAAAATAGTTTTTAGGTTAAATTCAAAATATGTACATTGTACTGGCTTAATAGCCAACAGTTTCCATCTTCATGGAAAAATATATATATTACATTGTATATATTTCTTGCAAAATCACAGCAGTCTTGAAAATTAAACAATGCCATGGTAACGTGTAAAGTATGACAGCTAGGGGCTAAAGTCTATGCTACCAGCAGGTAAAATTGAGAAGTATGCCCAGGCCTTTATGGTAGCTTAATTTTTATTTTGACATTTAAAAAAAAAAAAAAAAAACCCAGACATAAACTAAAGCTAGGAGAACCTGTAGTAATGACAAAATTGTTTTGCAAAAGAGGTACTGGCATGCGAGCAGTTCCCGTACAGAAGCAGTACCCCTATTTTTCATTTAAACGCTTGATTTTTACTTGGAATGCATTCTTCAAAAATTCATTTCAAATCAAGCAGATACATAAACGAGACAAAATCTAATTGTCAGTTCGGCAGTACGTATATAAAGTCTCATTTTAAATCACTTTCACCTGTGCATCGTCAAAACGTGACCTTGTTTTCTCTGGGGGATTCCGTCCTTGCGCGCATGCGCAAAAATACTTACACGTGAGGCTTGTTAAAGGGTTTTCCACTAATACCATCTGTTTACAAATAAGTAGGCAATGAGATGAAAAATTGTTTAATTATTAGAATGTTGACCAATATTACTATAAATAATAATTTTATGGCTTTGATGCGTAAAATATCATGCATACAAGCATGTTACTGCATATGAATGCGTTGGGGTGATGGTACCGGGTAATAGATACCCGCGTTTAGTCTACGCTCTATTTCCTGAATTACATCTATCTATCTCTTAGATAATGGTCTGTTCAACAATTATTGTAAATGAAAAATAGGTCCGATATAATAAAATTGTATAATTATAATGGGTTAGATTTTATGTAAGGGAACTACTTCTCTTCATACAAAATAATGGATAATTTCGGTACCCCATATGAGGCCTCATAAATAAGGGTTATCCTATGTTTAGAACATGATGGAATTTCCATGATTTGTGTGACGAGCCGAATATTGATGTGTAACATTCAAATATTGGTGAGTGAGCGTAATAAAAAATAATGATTAAGTAACTATGATTTTTGTACGGGAACTGCTTGCATGCCAGCGGAAAAACTAATTGGTAACAAGTCAAATTTTACCTTGTTGCTAGGAGGGTACCAGATAGTCGTCGGATTAGCCGTTCCTGTTTCTTCCTTGACGCATTCTCACAGAATGAGTGCTGACGTTTCAGGCTCTGAAAATATACAACAACATTGTCTGAAAATATACAATGACATTGTTGATAAGTATGAAAATATACAACAACATTGTTGATTAGTAACAAATTGTTAGAAACTAAAACTTCAATTGCGTGGAAAACAGTGAATTTTAAATCCTAACAGAGGGCCTTAAAGGGTATTCAAATCCTGAATTTCAGGAAAATATTCAGGAGAAGTGGTGAAAGCTTCTACCAAATTGGAATATACTCTATATTTGTGAAAATGACCTATTTCAAGTTGGATTGGAATATTTTTCAGCAGCATTTCACTCAATTCTGAAAATGAAATTCATGTAATTATTCAAGTGAATAAGCCTTACAGAGTATAAAGACTTTGACACACTATAATATGTCTTGACTAAGATTTTTTGCTTAATAGTTTGAAGAAAAGGTATACTTATTGTATATCTGTTATTGTGAAAATGACCCATTAGGTTCTGTGGAAATGTGGTTGAAATCCCTACACTGTAATGTAGAGGATACCCATAGGGCCAGAGAGGAAAAAATTATGCTGGAGCATTTAGATGTCCCCACTCCATCCCATTGTCCCTTAATTTGCTGCCCCATCACATCTCATAGCCCCTTAATCTGCTGTCCCCACCCAATCCCATTGTCCCTTAATTTACTGCACCTACCCCATCCCATTGTCTCAATTAATCTACAGCCCCAACAGTGTCTATTCTAGGAGGGGGGATGGGGGATTAACTCATATTTTTGAGAATTCCCCTCTACTTTTTGAGAGGCAGGGGGGAAATTTTTCAAAGAGAAAGAAGGAAAAACAAGAGGGCCATGATGGCCCTGAGGTCGCTCACCTGTATATAGGCCCCCCCAACCATCACCCCCTCCCCCTAAAGTTGCAGAGCCAATTTAACCCAAGGGCTTTTATTTGCACAAACTTGGTAGACACCCATAAGAAGATGTTTCATGCTAAACATTTAAGCTCTAGCTCATTGGGCTTTTTAAAAGAAGATTTTTTTAAAGTTTTTACTATACACATATAGTTAAAAACAATGACACCCCTGGGGCCGGGCCAGTTTTGACCCCAGGGCTTTTATTTGAACAAACTTTGTAGACACTTACTAGAAGATGTTTCATGCTTAATATCTAAACTCTAGCTATTTGGGTTTTTTCAAAGAAGATTTTTTAAGTTTTTGCTAAACACATATAAAGAAAATCAATGACCCCCGGGGCGGGGCCAATTTTGACCCCTGGGCTTGTATTTCAACAAACTTGGTAGACACCTATTAGAACATGTTTGATGCTCAATATCTTAGCCATAGCTCTTTGAGTTCTTTAAAAGAAGATTTTTAAGTTTTTACTATATGCATATAGGGAAAATCAATGACCCCCCGGGGCGGGGCCAATTTTCACCCAAGGGCTTTTATTTGAACAAACTTGGTAGACACCCAATAGAACATGTTTCATGCTAAATATCTTAGCTCTAGCTCTTTGGGTTCTTTAAAAGAAGATTTTTTAAGTTTTTACTATATGCATATAGGGAAAATCAATGACCCCCGGGGCGGGGCCAATTTTGACCCTAGGGCTTTTATTTGAACAAACTTGGTAGACACACACTAGAAGATGTTTCATGCCAAATATCTAAGCTCTAGCTCTTTGAGTTCTTTAAAAGAAGATTTTTTAAGTTTTTACTAATATGCATATAGGGAAAATCAATGACCCCCGGGGCGGGGCCAATTTTCACCCCAGGGCTTTTATTTGAACAAACTTGGTAGACACCCATTAGAGGATGTTTCATGCTAAATATCTTAGCTCTAGCTCTTTGGGGTCTTTAAAAGAAGATTTTTTTTAAGTTTTTACTATATGCATATAGGGAAAATCAATGACCCCCTGGGGCGGGGCCAATTTTGACCCCAGGGCTTTTATTTGAACAAACTTGGTAGACACTCACTAGAAGATGTTTCATGCCAAATATCTAAGCTCTAGCTCTTATGGTTTTTTAAAAGAAGATATTTAAAGTTTTTTCTTTCGGTTGCCATGGCAACCAGAGTTTTGCATGGAATTAAATTCTTTGAACAATTTTTAAAGGTGACCACCAAAGGAACATTCCTGTGAAGTTTGGATAAAATTGGCTTAGTGGTTTATGAGGAGATGTCATTTAAAGTAAAAGTTTACGGACGGACGGACGGACGGACGGACGACGGACGGACGACGGACGGACGACGGACGAAAAGCGATCACAAAAGCTCACCCTGTCACTTTGTGACAGGTGAGCTAAAAAGATCAGCAAATGTAATAAATTCTCACAATTTGATAAAAATCACCCCTGTTTTTTGAATTCCTAGAATAGACACTGCCCCCACCCCATCCCATTGTCCCAATTAATCTACTGCCCCCCCCCACCCATTATCCCATTGCCCCCTAAATCTGTTGGACCTGTCAGTAACTAGCCAAGTGTCACCAGTTTAAAGCCTGCAGTCCTGACCAGGTTACATAATAATGGCATCATGACAGCTCAACTTTAAATTTGTACTTTAATATTAAAACCCCTTATAACCTCGAATGGACTATTCCAAACTAGAAGCAGGGCAAGTGCATTGCACAAATTCAGCAGGTAAAAGGTGTAAAATAAAATATGTCACTATGTCACTACTTAAAGACAATAAACATGTTTTTACAAACCTTCATTTCCAAGTCAAAGGATAAAAAATTCCATTAAAATGTCCAACACCGGAAAAACAACACATTAAATATTCATTCCATTGACAGAAATTTTAAGCAGAAAACTTAAAAATAACCTAAGAAATTTGTAACCTTATAATGTAAATTTAAAGAAAGAAAAAAACAACACAAGTATATTTATCTCATCCCGCTGTCAAAATGTCAGATTGTTAATAATTATAGTAACGTAATTAAGTATTCAATTATTATATAAATCCAACAAATTTTAACAATCCAATATACCAATAGGCAAGTCACAAATTCTCAATATATACACGTATGTCAAAACACATGCACACACACACAAAATGAAAACAAAGGAGCTGGGATTATTTTGTAAATTACAGAAATGAAAAAAAAAAAAGAGTTAAAAACAACAGCTGTCAACATTATAGGTCATCCTTATGTCAGGTAAATCTGACAACAGATCTTTCAAAGATAAAATAAATGATGACTGGGTGACAGTTTTTCCAGATGCGGCTAGTGTGAACAGCCGCACTGCATAATATGGATTGATTTCCAATAATCTATGGCCGACTCCCAAGATGACAATCCTTACGACCTTGGTCAATAAAGCGAGACCGTCTTTATTAAAGTGACATTTCATCGCTTCATCTTAATAACAAATCTCCATAAAAGGCCCATTTTATGCTTCAGAAATGCTTTTATTTTTATTTTTCAAAAGCTTTTTTGTTTTTGATGTTGTGTTAAATTTTTCCAAAAAGTTATTCATTTGGCCAATTACCTAAGCCATCTTTTTCTTCTGTTGCTTTTTGGCTATAAATACTGTTCGACTGATTTAGTGATTTGTATTTTAGGAAGTCAAAATACTACTTTGTTTGCATTTTGCGACCAATAATTTCATTTCTTCATGTGACATGCATCTAACATGACGCAGCTCATATCACATCATGTGACATGGAAGCTGCAAAAGTAATTCTGTCGGTAACATTATTACTATTCAATAACATGTACATAATGTAACAAGTGCAAGGAATTTGTTATCTGTGTTACATCACTATATTGACAACGAATTTCATCAATGTCTGATCCAACATAATAATGCTGTTACAGTCACCTCCCTGTCAGCCCCATCTCTCTCCCTCACATTCCAAAATGTGAGTATGCATTCAATTAAATTAATCAATTAATTAACGTAACCAATCAAGTATTCATGTAATTTACAGACAAAATGCCATTAACCAAATGTCATCCCTGTTGGCATTTTCTTAATAAAGCCTGGACATGAAATGTTAACTGTGAAATTATACACACTTGGTTAAATAAAGAATTTCAAGGGAGTATGAATTTGTCCGTTGCTATGGCAATACATTTAATGCATGGAAGAATAAAGCCTGTTTTATGAGCTAGGCTAGCATACTAAGTACATTGAAGATATAAAATATGTATGTCTGAATTACAAATTTCCTCGCATATTATCTATAATATCTAATACAGTGGACAGCTTTTGTCGGATTGAAGTTATTCAATTCTTCTTATAATAAACTAATAAATTGGAAACTCAAATCAGGATAAATCCATTACATTACAACAAGAGGTCAAGAATATAAATAACTACAAAATAACGAAATTGTAAATTCTATAGAAACATATTCTAATAAAATAATTCTTAAGTTATCAACAACAAAAAAAAGAATAAAAAAAATAAAAATACATAAATAAGATTACGCAGGAATGTAACTTTACCAAAATCAATAGTGTGTGAGATACATAATTATAATAACAATATCAATTTATCTGTCTGACAGAAAATCCCTCCATCAGAACACAATTCATCATGTTAAGATTTTAATGCAAATCGACTACAGGGCCGGCAAAATCTAATGTTGACCATTATATATGAAACATTTCTGTACCATATGATATTTATAGAAAATATTCTACAAGTTTTCGTTGTATTGAAAGTAGGTCAGTGGCAATTATTTTCCCACAGAAAACACTATCCTCTCTCTAAAAGACACTGTAACCTCACCTACTAGACATAATGATGCCATCCTTTACTTTTCTTTCCTATAATTATGTAATTTCAGATCAAAAATAGTTTTTGATCCAGTTTTATGTCTCTTGAAAAAATTCATCCAGAAATTATTTCAGAATCCATTAATCCATCATTTCAATGGTAAATTTTAGGAAATAAACAAGACTGAATTATATAAGCAAACAATGCAGACAATGATATTAAGACTGGGAGGATACACTGTTTGCATGGGAAGATTTAGTCTCTGCCCCAGGAAGTGACAGGGATGGGTGGGGGGGCGGGGGGCGGGGAAGAAGAAGGGCGGGTGTTTGTATATTTGGGCTGACATTATATACAGAATAAGTTGTAATCTATTCAAATAAAAGAGCCATTAAGATTTTACTTGCAAAAGCTGAGCACTGTTTAAGTGACGTGGGGTAAGCTGATTCCAAATAAAATTTACCCATTACACGTCATTTTTATTTTTATGCCGCACTTTACATGTTGTATTCAAATTATTAAAACATCATGCCCACATGTGCCACACAACAGGTGCTCTCTACTTTCGTTTTACAAAAACGACTTGCAAAAATTTTGTTAGTAAGCCATTTCATAGTGATGCTGCACACTTAAATTACACAAATTTGTTTTAACATCATTTCATCAAACTTTTTAGATGCTTTATAATAAACCCCAAACTTATATAGTCATTCAAAATTACTATTTTTATAAAGTAATATAAAAAATCTTTTCCACTCACCATCTTAAATTTACAAATATTATATCCAAATCACACACAATATCTGTAATTAATCCTTAATAGATTTCAACTAGAGAATACGTCTATAATATTCTATTAACACAATAAACAAAGAAAAAGGAAAACAAAAAGTAATTTCAATCAAATGAAAAAAACAACAAAAACAACACACACACTGAAAGTTACAACAAAATAATCTAATCTCTAAATTTTATGAACTATTCTCATCGCCACAGAAACAATTTGTCCTCTGTCTACACTATTAATGGTGATGACAACTACTTTATTGTTATAAGCAATTAAACATAAATCAACCCTTTGTCACTTAGTGTATAAAACAAGTGTTTTAATTCCCTCAGCAGTTCACATACACCAATCACTATATCAATCAATCAAAGAAAAATAAAATACCGTAAACTTTCTAGTTAACAGAATTACCGTAAACTCTCTGGTAAACCAAATTACCGTTAGAATTATAGACCTTGGAAAGCAGACTCCTGTAATGCTCTCAAATTAAGAATGTGATGTTTTAAACTATTCCTTCAGTAGTTTTGGATAAACCAAACCTGTATGCAAAAAGCCATAAGTATGATACCGATGCCTTGGTAAGTATACAATAGCTGTCAGTTGAGCTAAAAATCTCAGTTTTTCTTTATTGTTAAGCTTGTTGTAATTGGTGTTGTTACATATAATTATTTCCGTTTCAAAGTCGGTAAAATGTCGTCTGCTTATGTTTTGCATATTCATACAGCGTATGAATATTGGCGGGAAAATGCTCGTTTTTCTCGTGCTGGGTATAAAAGTACAACTCGGCGTGCTTTAGGCCATTCGAGGCTTTTACATTGGTAGCGAAAGATATCTGTTTAGAATGTCCGACACGGAAAATGCTTCGGGTAATTTCAAGGATGAAGTTGTTACCGAAATAAAAGACTTTTTTGATACAAAGTTTAGAGAATTGAAAAGGGATTTCAGGGAGGAAACTGAGTGGAACAACGAGAGTGTATCGTAAAAAGGTACGTGCTGACAATTTAGTTTCGTTTAGCAGTGCTGGAAATAAGAAGCAATACAACTTCAACACTGAAATTTTCGACATTTTGGATGCTTCTAAGAGGGCCATTGAATTAAGAAATGCTTCTAAATCTGTAGGTTATATTCAAGAGGCTCAGGATAAAATCAAACATAGAAATAAGATCATAAGAATTGCAGATAGCTCTTCACTTGGCTGGCCTGTTGTCGCTGAATATGAGAAAAATGATATTGCCAGCGACAGTGATGACGATAAAAAGATCCGCCGTGCAGAGGACCGAGCTCGTTCCAAGATTGAGAGGGCAAAGAAAGCTAGGGAGAGTTCTGGCTTCAATCAAGATAATAGTGTAAGTATTTACTGTGAATAATTGTGAGATTTACCCTGAAGTCATTCGGTTTAGATGCTAAATTTAATGTTATGTTTAGATAATTACGTAACTTTCATTTTTGCCTTAGATATACCCGTGATACACCGATAGTTGTAACGGTATTTTTATTGTATTTTTATCTCTATACTCTACTTTGTTAAACATACTATTACATGTATAACAGTATACTGTCTGATTTTGCGAGTGCGTATAAATTTGTATTTGTGATTTTTATCAAACAATTTATCAAGATAAGAATTGACGCAACTTGAGCTTATTCACATGTTAATTATTAATCTTGGTGTTTCTTCTAAGTCTTTTCGCAGCGTCCGTAACGCTAAAGCATTCAGTTCCGGAAGATCTTCCATGGAGAACCAGCGCAGGTACCAGCGGGATGTCGTCGTCTGCTATTCTTGCGGAGAGGAGGGTCACTTCGCTAACGGATGTCCGGACGTCTGGCGTCGAAAGCTTCGATCCATGGCTCCAGGAACTGTCCCCACAGCCACCGTTGGGTATGCAGCCGCTCAGAACGCAGCACGCCCGAAGTCTGAACAAGGAAGCGCTTCCGTCGGAAAACAGTGATTTACAATGTGAGGATGAATATGATAAGTACTGGGCATTTTCAGACATTTTCAGTGGGGTTGTAAGCATTGATTTTCGGGAAAATTTTTGTAGAAATTTTGAGAATTCTTGTTCTTTATCAGATAGTTCTGTCAAAGGAAAATTAAAAAGTAATATTGATTTTTGGGAAAAATACCATAGAAGCTAGTGATGACATTATTTCTATTATTGAAAATGGATATGTTTATACCGTTTATTACTAAACCTCCTTCTTTTTGTCTGAATAATAATTCGTCTGCTTTAAAAAATAAATCATTTGTTGAGAAATCTATTTTTTCACTTATAGAAAAGCAATGTGTTTATGAAGTGCCTTTCATTCCTCATAACGTAAACCCTTTGTCTGTAGCAACGAACAATGCATCGGGAAAACTTAGATTAATTCTTGATCTTAGCGTTTTGAACACTTATGTTCATAAAGATAAATTTAAGTTTGAAGATCATAAAGTTGCTAAAGAATTTCTTATTCCTAATGGTTATATGTTTAAATTTGATCTAACTTCAGGATACCATCATTTTTCTATTAAAAGCACACATCATACCTATTTGGGATTTTCTTGGGTTTTAAATGGAACTATAAAGTATTTTGTTTTTTCAGTTTTACCATTTGGTTTGAGCTCGGCTCCTTACCTTTTTTCTAAAGGTTTAAGACCCCTAGTCAAATATTGGAGAAAAAATGGGCTAAGATTGGTTTTGTTTCTTGACGACGGTTGGTGCGTTAATGCAAACTTCGAACTTGCACTTAAAGATTCCAAAATTTGTCTTTAATACTTTAAAGAAAGCTGGTTTAGTTGTTAATATTGATAAGTCAGTATTTGAGCCTGTGCAGTCTTTAGAATGGTTAGGTTTTTTGTGGGATTTGAAAAATGGCAGGCTTCTTATTCCAGAGCGGAGAATATGTAATGTCAGAGCGTTTATTACTCAGATTCTTACTGTTTTTCCTATTTGTTCAGCTAGGAAATTAGCACAGTTGGCGGGTAAAATAATATCTATGTCGCCTGTTTTAGGTAATGTTTGTTTGTTTCAGACTAAAGCGTTTTTTCCGTTTAATAGAGAGCAGATGGTCTTGGGACAAGCAGCTTAACGTTCATGATATTTATGATAACTTGGTATTTTGGCAAAAGGTATTTAGAAACGAATTTCATAAAAGTTTATTCAACGATTATTTGCCTACAGTGTTAGTATATTCGGATGCTTCAGCAGTAGCTGGAGCCGCTTATATACAATGTGAAGGTGCTGTTGCTCACAAAGTTTGGACGGATGACGAGAAACAACAAAGTTCTACATTCAGGGAGTTCTTGGCTATTAAGTTTGCTCTTTGCTCATTTAGAAATATTTTGTCGGGGAAAAAAGTGATTTGGAATACTGATAGTAAAAACTGCGTACATATCATTGAAAAAGGTAGTATGGTAAAAGATCTTAATCGTATGGCTATTGACATAGGTTCTGTCTGTGCTTCGTTTTGCATATCATTGGAACCAAGGTGGATTGAGAGAGAATATAATGTTGTAGCTGACGACCTTAGTAGGATAGTAGATTACGATGACTATGGTGTAAGTGATGAATTCTATCAGTATGTTGATGAATTATATGGTCCTCATAGTGTTGATCGTTTTGCAAATGACCAGAATAGAAAATTAGCTCGTTATAACTCATTGTTTTGGACGCCAGATACAGAAGCAGTAGATGCATTTTCGGTACATTGGGGAGGTGAAAATAATTGGTTGGTTCCGCCTATTTTTTTGTTGTCTAAAGCTTTGAATTTTTTGCTGTTTTGTAAAGCTATGGGTACTGTTGTTGCTCCATATTGGCCTTCCAGCTCTTTTTTTCCCGCTCTTATTTGCAGACGCTTCTATTTTTTGCGCCTTACATAGTAGAAGTATTAACTTTTAAGGAAGCTTCTAAGATTTATGTACAAGGCCAGTATAAAGGATCTATATTTGGCTCAGAAAGATTTTCTAGTAAAGTTATGGTTATTCGTTTAGATTGTAGGAATCAAACAGTTTAATCATAAACTTATAGATAATTCATTGTTTTAAATGTCTTTTCATTGTATAAAATATTTTTTATTTTGGTGTGTTAATTTTCTCTTTAAACATAACTTTGAGATAGTCCCTAGTTACACCGTGGGAAAATTTTTATACATTGCATTTTGATTTTGATTTTCTATGTTGATTACGAATATTGTTTTATATGTGAAAAGATAAAGATCGTTTTATTACTTAAATATATTTTATCGTTTACAGCATTGTTTAAAACTAAAGTTTGGCAAGAGGCTAAAGAGCAAGCAGAGTTATCTTCTCTTGGACTGTTCTCAGAGCTTAAGGAAGTGTGTTTACGAGGAAAAGAAATATCAACAAACAAGAATTATGCTTTGGCTTTTAAACATTTTAGTAAGTGGTGTGAGGCTTTTCACTTTGAATTTTTACCGGCTTCTCATGCGACTGTCGGTTTGTATTTGGTGCACGTAGTTAGAGAATCACCGAATTGCAGTCGTTCTAAGCTGAATCTGATTTTTTATGCTATTAATTGGGCTCATATTGTTTCAAATTGTGTTAGTCCATGTAGCAATGATTGGTTAAAATTGTGCCTTCATGGTTGTTTAAGAAAGATTTCTAAACCAATTAGTAAGAAAGAGCCTATCACAGTAGATATTCTTAAGACTTTTATTCATAAAATATGCTTCTGAGGACAGTTCTTTAGGAGACTTGAGAAACTGTTGTATGTTTGTATTATCTTTTGCAGGATTTTTTCGTATTAGTGAGTGTTTGAATATAAGGAGATGTAATATTTCTATTTGTGATTTTTACTGTGAAATTTATGTAGAAAAATCCAAAACGGATGTTCTGAGGGATGGAAATACTGTAGTTATTGCCCGGACCGGAACTTCCTCCTGCCCTGTAAGTTTATTAGAACGTTACTTAAGGCTAGCTAATATTCAACCAGATTCAAACGAATTCATTTTCAGACAGATTTATTTTGACAAAAGTTCCCGTTCGTATGGATTGAAAAATATTGATAAACCTATTTCATATTCCTGCATACGTGACGTACTTAAAAGGAATTTAACGTCTCTTGGCTTCGATCAAACAAAGTATAGTTTACATTCGTTTAGATCCGGTGGTGCTTCTACTTCAGCAAATAATAACGTTTCTGATAGGTTAATTCAAAGACATGGCAGGTGGAAGTCCGTGTCTGCGAAAGATGGATATATTAAAGACTCAATGGAAGATTGTTTGTTTGTGTCTAAACAATTGAATTTATAAGATGCTCCTATGATGTTATGTTTAAGTATACACATTTATAAATTAAAAGTTGTTCACATTTATATTTTGTTTACTTGTTTTATTTTAGATGTTAAATAAAGGTGGTGATGATGGTTATGGAATTGGATGACATTTACTACTGTATATGGCGGCCGTAGGCTGTAATATTTCTGGCGGCCGTAGGCTGTAATATTTCTGGCGGCCGTAGGCTGTAATATTTCTGGCGGCCGTAGGCTGCAATATTTCTGGCGGCCGTAGGCTGCGATTTATTTATGGCGGCCGTAGGCTGCAGAATTCTTTGGCGGCCGTAGGCTGTGTTTTTTAGGCAATTTGCCGCAAGTCAACGGATAGTATATTTTGATTAACAACGGACTTAATGCATAGGCTTTATGCTTTTCTGGAGAGAAACTTGTTACATAATATCAAATCTATGCTGCAAAATTAGAATTTTCAGGTTTGAACTGGGTTTCTATTGGATTTACGCAGATGCCCGACTTATTATTCGCAGCTGTTTTCATATAAGTATTTTCAAATTTTATTTCTTACAAATTGTTCAAAATAATAATTCATTTAAATTCTTTCTTTGTTTTTTCGCTATAATTATGCTACCAATAATAAGCCATAATCCTACTTGTGTCTTGTTTTGTATTAATTATATATTCAGTGTAAAGAATGTATTAAGGTTTTATCACTGTTAAGGATATTTACAGTTTGACGACTTTGATAAGGAAATAATTGTTTTACTCGCGTTCCAAGGGAGTAAATATAATTATTTTCGTTTCAAAGTCGGTAAAATGTCGTCTGCTTATGTTTTGCATATTCATACAGCGTATGAATATTGGCGGGAAAATGCTCGTTTTTCTCGTGCTGGGTATAAAAGTACAACTCGGCGTGCTTTAGGCCATTCGAGGCTTTTACATTGGTAGCGAAAGATATCTGTTTAGAATGTCCGACCCACCCACCCACCCAATTCATCTTAATTAGAACAGCTTATAACTAACTTTTTGTTTCAATGTATATATAGATCGGATTTGTTAAAGTTTTAATAATAAGTTTTTCGTTTCAGTTTTTCTTTATCCGATGTTTTCCGAGAGATAGATGTGGTTTTCGTCATTTTCTGGTATTCGATGTTTTTTATTTTTTTGTGCATATAGAGCTGATTCTCCAGTTCGACGAATGCTTTTAGTCCATGATAGCGACGAAGTATTACAGACGTCAGGCGATATATCTTGATTTTGAAATGAATTGTCGATATAATTATGCTACCAATAATAAGCCATAATCCTACTTGTGTCTTGTTTTATATTAATTATATATTCAGTGTAAAGAATGTATTAGGTTTTATCACTGTTAAGGATATTTACAGTTTGACGACTTTGATAAGGAAATAATTGTTTTACTCGCGTTCCAAGGGAGTAAAGGGATTTTTTTTGCCTTATTTTATAGCCAATATTCGGCATATTCCCAATTGAAAATAGTATATTATTTTCCCAATCCACAGGAAACATTCCCAATTGAAAGTTACAAAATGAAAATATTGAATAACAAATTCTAAAATCTTTGAAAATAAGTGCTTATTCACTGTTATGCTGTTTAAAAGTTTGAAAATGCCTTCATTGCTGAAATTCCCAATTCCATGGGTATGGGTCATGTTACCAAAATCCTGGGGAAAAAAACTGTTGTTTTTTATAACAAGCATGGTAAACCATCTGTTAAAGTAAACTTGAAAATCTGTTTTTCCAAATGTTTCAACTTTTCAACCAGATGACCTTTCACTGGAGTGGTCAAGCTGGTCAAGCGGTAAAAAAAACCACAATACAGTGGTCAAATTTTTTTCTGCTGCACTTGACACTATATCAACTTGTAAAGCTGTTACAATTATCCCCAAGATTTCGCATGAATTTTATTGGGTAACATTTCCACTGATCTGAATTGATCTTTATTTTTGTTTGTATTCTGCTATAAGGGATTATGTTTTACGGGTCACTAGATATTCATACTCGGCTCAACTTGCTAGTCATAACATAACATAAGATTATACAGGGATTTAAATACATGCTTAATTAGAGCAGATTTTTATAGCTGATAAAACAAAGTCTTGTAATCCAATCAAATCCAAAGAACTGTTATCCTTATAAATCAACATATCCGAAAACTGTTACACATTAAATTGATATAATATGCCCTACCAAGGTATATTGAGGGCATGAACTGGTGAAAGTTAAAAATGAGGCTTTATTTTGACAAAAATCCTCTCAATTTTATAATTAACTTTGCATGAATGTTAACAAAACTCATCAAGCCAAGAGTAATTTCTTTAAGTATTCAACAGTATTTTACTGTAATGATCATTTTTATAAGAATAGTTAAGGCACAGTCTTTTCTTTTTTTTATATTTTAGGCATATTAAAATTTTATATCTTATCCTAAACATTTTCAAGTATCAATTGTTGTTCAATCACTATTAGAACAAATTCAATCTTTTGAAATATGTGGTCAATTCAGCTCAACTTGAAAATGAAAACATCTACATAATGTCACTTTAAGGCCTTTACAATGCTGCAAACATAACAGCAACTTTAAAGCTTCAATAAAACTGAATTCTGTAAAAATGTGTCTGAGAGTGAGAGAAGCGGTGTTAAAATCAGTAACTGTGTCTAGCTGCCCTTCTAGTCCCACTGGGATCACAAGTTCAGGCCCTGCTAGGGTCATGACCATGTTCACTTAATGTAAATGCAAAAATTAACGTTAATATCAACACTATATAATGGGTTTAAAGTTTGTAGGGGGATTTTTCTGGCTTTTACTGGGAAAGAAGATCCATGGTTGGTACATAAAACATGCAGGGAGAGTAAAGTACATAAAACATACAGGGAGAGTAAAGTACATAAAACATACAGGGAGAGTAAAGTACATAAAACATACAGGGAGAGTAAAGTACATAAAACATACAGGGAGAGTAAAGACTCAATTATAGGCACCTGATTAAATGCACAAACCTTCCCTAACAGCTCAAAGAAAGTTCAAAGAATTAGTTTTGGCAACTTACATCATAACAATAAACAAGAGGGCCATGATGGCCCTGAGGTTGCTCACCTGTATATAGCCCCCCCTCCCCCCCCGGCCAATTTTTACCCAAGGGCTTTTATTTGAACAGACTTGGTAGACACCCATAAGATGTTTCATGCTAAACATCTAAGTTCTAGCTCATTGGGTTTTTTAAAAGAAGATTTTTTAAGTTTTTACTATACACATATAGTTAAAAACAATGACACCCCTGGGGTAGGGCCAGTTTTGACCCCCGGGCTTTTATTTGAACAAACTTTGTAGATATTTACTTAAAGATGTTTCATGTATAATATCTAAACTCAAGCTATTTGGGTTTTTTCAAAGAAGATTTTTAAGTTTTTGCTATCCACATATCAGGAAAATCAATGACCCCCGGGGCGGGGCCAGTTTTGACCCCAGGGCTTTTATTTGAACATACTTGGTAGACACCCATTAGAACATGTTTCATGCTAAATATCTTAGCTCTAGCTCTTTGGGTTCTATAAAAGAAGATTTTTTTAGTTTTTACTATATGCATATAGGGAAAATCTATGACCCCCTGGGACGGGGCCAATTTTGACCCCAGGGCCTTTATTTGAACAAACTTGGTAGACACTCACTAGAAGATATTTCATGTCAAATATCTTAGCTCTAGGTCTTTGGGTTCTTTAAAAGAAGATTTTTTAAGTTTTTACTATATGCATATAGGGAAAATCTATAACCCCCTGGGGCAGGGCTAATTTTGACCTCAGGGCTTTTATTTGAACAAACTTGGTAGTCACTCATTAGAAGATGTTTCATGCTAAATATCTTAGCTCTAGCTCTTTGGGTTCTTTAAAAGAAGATTTTTTAAGTTTTTTCTATATATGCATATAGGGGAAATCAATGACCCCCTGGGGCGGGCCAATTTTGACCGCAGGGCTTTTATTTGAAAAAACTTGGTAGACATTCACTAGAAGATGTTTCATGCCAAATATCTAAGCTCTAGCTTTTACAGTTCTTTAAAAGAAGATTTTTTAAGTTTTTACTATATGCATAAAGGGGAAAATCAATGACCCCCCGAGCCGGGGCCAATTTTGACCCCAGGGCTTTTATTTGAACAAACTTGGTAGACACTCACTAGAAGATGTTTCATGCCAAATATCTTAGCTCTAGCTCTTTGGGTTCTTTAAAAGAAGATTTTTTAAGTTTTTACTATATGCATATAGGGAAAATCAATGACCCCCTGGGGCGGGGCCAATTTTGACCCTAGGGCTTTTATTTGAACAAACTTGGTAGACACTCATTAGAAGATGTTTCATGCCAAATATCTAAGCTCTAGCTCTTACGGTTCTTTAAAAGAAGATATTTAAAGATTTTTCTTTCGGTTGCCATGGCAACCAGAGTTCTGCATGAAATGGAATTCTTTGAACAATCTTGACAGAGCTTCATACAAAGAGTATTCCTGCCAAGTTTCATAAACATTGGCCTTGCGGTATCATAGAAGATGTCCTTAGAATATTTAAAATGTGGACGGACGACAGACGACGGACGCCATTTGGTTGGCCATCCTAAAAGCTCACCTGCACTTTGTGCAAGGTGAGCTAATTACAGAGAAAGACGGTGGTAGGCAATGAAAAGACAACATTTGTATATACAAAAGCATATCCCAAGATAAATATACAGACATAATAATAACATCACGAAAATGAAACATGATATTTCTTTTTAAAAGACAACACTGGCAAAGAAAAACGCCTAGTAAATAACTCTTCAAAGGAAACATCTTAAAAAAGCCAAGAAAAACAATTGTATGATAACACTAATATACTTCAAATATACTTCAAAGATTTAAGTGACAGGAGACAAAACATTAAAGATATGAATTGAAAGAATTAACAATATACATGCTACAGGAGACATAGAAAACCATGAATTGTTTGTCGTTTGGGTTTAAATGTACCAATCTCGACACATTTTTGGTGTAATTTTGGCAGGTCAGTCCAGCTAACCGGTTTTGGTTTTCCTGGGGGAAAAAAACAACTGACCATCACTTGAGAATTTTTCTCCTTGAATGATCAACTACTAATCAGTATTCCCACATGATTTCTAAATCAGTAGTAACAAACATAAATAACCATTAAACTCAATGTCTAAGATCTACTGTCACAGAGAAATTTCCGATAGCCCAGGGATCAAACCTGGGGGGGGAACCCCATGATAACAAATCCAATGCGCTCCCTTTTGAGCACAGCTGGTGGACAAGAAACCCATGAAAGGTTGAAACAAGATATGTTACAGGACAAATACAGTAACAGGATATATACAGAAATAGTTACTCAACTTAGTGTACATAATTAATGTAAATAAATATGCACATAAACCTTTCAAAAGACTGAATATATATTGTGTTATATTACACAAAATACTAGTACAGCATTGATGATTTTTCAACCGGCTTAACAACTTAGGCCTATTTCAAGCCTCTTCCCAATCAAAATTTCCATTAAAATTGTACAGTTTTCCTTAATATTTAAACTTGCACCAGCATTTTTTTTGACTTCCCAAATTACTTTTCACATTAATTTTTCCCAAAATCAAGAGTCTATAAAGGTCTTAATTCCCAATTAGAAGAGGTACATACTTGTGTCTGCTGCTCTGTTGTCACACACTTTTCTTCCCAGAACGGTGATAATAAAGATCTAAACATTATTCTTGCTGTACCATTCAAGGCCCTATATAGGTGACCTTGACACTTGACCTTTACTTCCGGTTAACAAGTTCTCAAATGACCTTTGTACAGTAAGGATCACTCATAAAGATAACTCTTAAGATCTAGTCAAAACTGAATCTGTCGACTTTCAAACTAAAGATACACTGTAATACGAAATCCATCAAAATGTATCAAGTTCATGCAGTCAAGTTCAAACTTAACAGTTTTATGTAACGTCTCTTACAATAGAAGCTGAGAATTCAAAAGTTAGTGTTTATTCCACATTGAGTGATTGACGGACAAAATTACCTGATTCTAATCAATCTTATATTTGCATAAAACTAATCACAAATCCTAGAAATTTACATATACAGCAGTTATATTGCTTTTCCAAACGTTCCCAGTGCTCACACATATAGGTTATCCAATCCCAATTGGTTTTTGCGATGATTTAATATGTTCTTAAAATATCTGTTATGAATCGGACGATGTCAGCTAAACTTATATGGTGCGATGGCAGTAACTAAAATTCCAGAATAAAAACCAAAAGACAAAAAGCATGGCCTCCATTTACAATACAGTTGACACGAAAACCCACAAAGTTTGCGGTATGAGGCGATCCCAACTATCCCCACAAAGCTTTAAGCAGCACTAAATATCCAGCTCTTTAAATCTTGAGACTTTCAGAGGCAGGAAAGTGTCAAACACTAACATTTAATCAAGAAGATCCTGAAAACTGTAACTCAGAATTATGTCTATGTAGAATGTATAGAGTATACTTATTATACTCCATTAGCTATTTTTCTTCTTGAAAAACACATTTATTTTTACAATTTCTTTTACCGTATCCTGTATCCTGTGTTTAATCACTATCGGAGGCCTTCATTTAATGAACACAATTCATTTATGATATTTACGAAAGTTACGATGATGATTACCATAGTGCACAAAATGTGTATTGCTTTCCCTTCGAAAATCATAGCAAAAACATCACTGATTTCATCGATTGAAACGAAAAGCCTATACTGAAATAAGTTATGATCGAAAGTGTGGCATTTTTGAACAGAGTTCAGAGTTGGCAGAAATAGAAAGTATGTTATATTCCTTTATAACATATGGCAAGAGATAACATTTTATCTCTTTTACAGATCTTGCAATGATAATTTCAATCCCAGCAGTCTGTAGAGACAGATTACACTGTGGGTATATGTTTTTTATTTTTTTCTTACCTGGCAGTATATGAAAAGGTATGGGTGGTGGGGGGGAGGGGGGAGGAAAAAAGGGGGGGGGGGGTGTTTATAAATTTAGCAACAAGTATCTTAAGATTATAATGATTAGCTATCAATGATACGTGTATAAAAGAAAACATATCTCACATAAAATTGGCACATAGATCTTTAAAGCATCTTACATTTACTGATTGAAAATATTGGATGGGGTTGGAATGTACAACAATTTTTGTGGTTTTTTTTTTTTTGTACTTGCAATTTAACTGTTCCCAGTATACAAAAAAACAAATACACATTTTAGGAGCAAATAAGCAAACATGCACAATTTTTTCTACCTGAAAACAACTTTATCAGAGATAAATTAAAGGGGTCTCAGTTATTCATATAATGTCGTGACCATTACTTTGAAACAAACTGTGTTGAAATAAAAATTATGTTGATGAAAATGTAAATTCAGTCAAAATTTCTGTTTAACATGTAATAGTGTTAATTAATTAATCAATAAGTGTAACTGAATTAATTATGTAAGTTTTTATACATTTTTTTTAAATCCCTTAACTCATCATTTTAAAGTTCTGATTTATTTACATGTTCTGTTCTTTCTTTCAATTATCTGGAGGCATGCAGCTTTAAGTTTTGTGCCATGATAATGAGGATAAAATATCGTTATATTATGATGTTTCTTGCTGCAAATTACATGATAGATTTAATATTGTATAGAATTATCCCCTTAACATCTTAGTATCTTAAATGGACTTGTTATAGAATGTAGGTGCCAAGCTGGTATTACTTAGGTGCCTGGACTATTGCACAGAGAGGCACTGCCACCTGAGGTCTTCATCCAGTAAAGCTGGAATGTCACCATATAACCTATACTGTGTCTAAATGGAGGATATTCAAGTTTTTCTATAAATACACGATTTATTTTCATCGAGTGGTATGAAAATAAATATTTCATGAGTTGCGGTAGCCACGAGTGAAATATGGTAATTTTCATGCCACAAGATGAAAATAAATCATGAATTTATAGAAAAAACTTGAATTTTCTGTTTATTATATACATTTTTCTCTTTTTTGCGAGAAAATTTGAAAGACTTTCCCTTAAATTTTGTGTACTGGCAGAATTTAAAAGAAAGTAGTCCGACAAGACACCAGTGAAAATACGGAAAATATGTTTCACTGCAGTGAAAAATAAATTTTTACAGTGAAAATACGGAAAATGAAAATACACATTTTATTTCATCAATATTTCTCAATATTTCATTTATAAGTATATAATAAATTAAACTTATTTAAAAGCTCTTCTTTATTTTGTTTTCGTCATTTATTGTTATGCTAAATTTACACACAATTAAAATGCAACATTATCTGTTAGAAAAATGATACAAATTACTGAAGGGTCCAACATTGGACAAATTTTGAGGTGACTGTCACTAACAGTAATAATCAAGGTGCAACTTTTCAGCCACTTTTGATGAGAACTCAAAGATCATGAAAAGGTAACTCTGACAACTGCAATGTTAACAGTACAGCAGTAGTTATTCCCCTTGAAAAAAAAAATGCAAATTTAAGAATACAGTGCTTAAAAAATGTTTACTGCATGAAAACTGTAGGTAACCCAAATTGGTTAGAAAAATGGGAGTTGGGTGGGATATGTAATTTAAAATTTAACCCATCCAAGTGTCAAGTTACCTACGTCACAATAAGGAAACATTCTAACCCAACACAATACTACATGTACCTTCAATGAGTCCTATTAAAATTGGTTACCTCAGCTAAATACCTAGGCGTTGATATATCAGAATACCTTACATGCCCACATAAACAGGACATCTGAAAAACCAAATTTTATCATTCCTTATACATGTTATAATGCCAAAACAAATTAAACGGTTAAATCCTGCCCACATAAACAGGACATCCAAGAAAGCTAATTACCAAAGCTTAGGATTCCTACAAAGAAACCTTTAAAAAGATTAAATCCCAAACCATTAAGTCTGTTGCTTGCCAAACGTTAGTCAGACACCAGCTTGAATATCGTTTCGAAGTAATCTCCCCAACACCAAAATACAAACATATCAAATTGAAAATGTCCAAAGAAGAGCAGCCCGATGGATTAAGGTAGATTATGGTCAGACGTCTAGCATCACATTATAACTTCAATAACTGGAAATAACGACATATAGATGCTAGGTTATCCCTTTTATTTTTATTCCCCATTGTCTAGCTGTTATCCCAACAGTAAATATGTGACACCCCTCTCCTGAACATCATGCCTTCAGTTCACCATCTCTTGTGTTACAAGTTATTCATAGCAACTTAAGATTATTATAAATTCTCATTCTTTCTTAGGACTGTATACCATTGTAAAAACCTACACCCTGCAGTTGTCCTATTCCTAGAGCAGTTCAGTGCGGCCATAGTTTGCACTGAACGAGTCAAAATATATTGACTTGCCAAAGCTAGAATCTGAGATATTTTTGTTCTGGGTCAAAATCTCATCTGAATAGGGGAGATATTGCCCACACACAAAATAGCACATCTCTTTGCTTAGTACAAGTAGTTCGACCTTCTGACTCCGTTAATCTTCTCACTCAGTTTTGTTTATTAAGCATTTATATATGATACAAATCAAACTAAAAATATTTACGTTATCTTTTATTTTCTTAGAATTATTTCTCTTTTTCCACTGGCATCAGAGCTTCAAGTTGTGTTAATTATTTTTTTTGGTGATATAAATATGTGTTCCAGTTTGTTGGTACAAAACAAAAACTACACTTTTGTTCTTAGTCTTAATATTTGAAGTTCATAAAAATTATGTTGTAATGAAAAATTCTTAACCCATTACGCCATATATACGCCTTTTAATGCCTTTTTCACCCCCCCCTCCCACTTTTTTGTGTCTCAAATGGTGAAAAAATGCCTTTTTTAGGCCCCCAACACTTGATTTTGTTTGAGAAATGTTGTTTAAAAAGTGACAAATTATTTCAGCGCGGCCCCCCATTTAAAAGATAGATCAGGGGGTTGCCAGAAGGGGGTTGTACCCCCTTCTGTTTGGGGATATGAAGGGGGGAGTTCCCCCCATCGCCAAGAAAATTTTGGACGTGTGAGAGGCTAAAAATGGCCCCTGATTGATCATAAGGTAATGTGTAACCAACACTGAAAAGCATTTGACTCTATCTCAATCCATTGAGAAGTTGCGGCACTTTGAAGTCAATTTTGATGGAAAAAATCAATGCAAAATAATGATTTTTGGCAATTTTGAGATGCCCCCTCGTTGCCATGGTAACAGGAAATTTAAGCCTGAGCATGTTGTTGCAAAGGCAATGGTCCAGTCAACACTTGTGCCATAAGTTTGATTAGTATTGAAGCAGTTTTTATAGTTTTATAGCAATTTGAACTTGTAACGGGAGACTTTTCAATGAAAACACTTACAGCCATTTTTCACAAAATGCTTATGAAGTAATGGGTTAATAGAAATGTGTCTAACAACTTCATTATAATGCTCTAGATTATTGCCCCGGTATCTGTATTCTACATATTTTGATTAAATATTCTGTTTCTGGCATCTATATTTTGACAATGCTGTTGGCGCAATGAATTAGAGCATAAAGAAGTTATTAAACCTATTTTGTTTTACATTTTGCATATGTAAAATATTTTTTAAGGACTTAAAAAAAACTATGTGTTATAAAAACAAGAAAAAGGGGAAATAATTCTCACAAAAATGACAGTGGCCAAATATTTTTCTTTCTTTCAGTTTATGTCAAATATTATTTTCAAAAAACAAAGTGTTGCATCACCATATAGTTAAATGAGGTAGTAAAGCTAATCAATTTTTCAGATATGTTTAATATTTATTTCTAGGGGCGATCATATTGATTTCGAATTTTCCCTGCCAAAAATTTTTGCTATTTTCTTTTCCCCTCATTTAAGGTTTTTATCCCGGGAAAAAAACTAACGAAAAGATAAAATTTAAATCCCCCACCCCTTTTTTTAATGAATAAGAAAATGCCAAATTTTTTTCAAACTAAGGAAAGCAAAAAAAAAGTTAGGGTTAATAAATTTTTGCAAATTTATTGGCGAAATTTTGTTTGCACACCCTTTAATTTATGACGGGCCCAAATTTTCCCAACCCCGAAAAGGTTAAAATTAAAATAAAAAAATACTCAAAGTTTTAAATTTTAAGGGTACTTTAGGAAAACGTAACGGAAAAATTTTGCCCCCTATAAATTAAAAATGTTTAAGGGATAAAATTCTAAAAATAAAATGTACAAGAATGAGTATTGTCCTTTAACTTTTAGATTAATTTGTAAATGATTACAAAATTTATAAAGTCAAACGTAAAATAAGTAAAGGGGACACCTTAAATAGATATTATCATTGTAACAGGGTCTTATTTTTAAGATCAGGTCTAAGGGACAATACTCTTGCTTTACTGTTGGATTTTATAATTTAGCAAAGGGAGACAAAATCCGTCGGTCTTGTCTGATACTTTTCAAGGGAGATTACTCTATTGGTTTTAACTGATTTTATCTTGTGTTTACATTGGTCAGTATTCTAAGAATTCAAATGATTGGTTCATGGATCATTGGTTTTAAGCTATTTTTATGTCATGTGATTTCTTGGTGGGAAAAGTCATTGTGTCTTTGTTATGTTGTAAAGGAAAGGTTAGAAAAATTAGTGTTTGTGGTCAAGTTCTTTATTTCATAAGTTGGTATGTATTTATCCTGACTGCTGCTAAATGCTTTATTGTAAATATGTAGAATTGCATTATTGTGATTCTGTTGTATTTTGATTCAGTCCATTGATTGTGAAATTTGTAAATAAGTATGAGTTTCAGAATGACATGTATCTATCAAATCACCTTTCATCTTTTATTCACTATTAATATTTAACCTTGCAGTTAACAGTCACTGGTGTGAAAGTAAGAGAAGGTATTAGGTTATAGATTGATGTACTACACTCATCCCTCAGATGGTAAGTTACATGTGTGATGTATTGTGTATTGTTTAAAAGATAAGATATGTTAATTGTGTGTATAATTTCATAAGCTATGATATGATATTTAAGGACTGTTGCTGAGTGTAAAGAACTAAATTGGCCACTAGACATGTAATTGATTATGTAAGATATGATAATAATTAATGCATTGTTTATACTTTATTTTACTTTATATTTACATATTGTTATATACTTATTTCAGAGTGTTGTTGGTTTGTACCTTAACTTGATGTAACCACCATACAGTAATTGAAGAATGGATTGGAATATATAAATAATATAACTGTAAAGCTGTTTGTTGATTTGATTTTAATAATCCCGAACTCATTTGACCCTTAGGGGCTCGGATAGTTATATTTATATTGCGCCGAACCACCCCTATTACATCATCAATATCAATATGCTATAATTTAATTTCAATGTTAACCAAATGGGTACTTTCTTAGCTACAAGAAATCATGGAGCTAAATATTGAATAAATTTATGTATATCTGTGAAGAAATTATTATTATGCCATTATTCAGCAAGCATTGCCAAAAAAATTCTTTTTGTATTGAAAACTTACAAATAACATAATATAGTATGTTAACCAGTTTTACTTCGGCCGAGTATTTTTTTTTTATAAAGATACTTCTTGTTATGTACTTACAGTATCAGTAATCGATATACAATATAGAATATGAATTTCATCATGGCTCGCTTAGAAGAAGTATAAATTTGCCCATCATTTATATTAAAACTCAACAACTAAAGCCTAAATAAGGTACTTGTCAGGGGGTGTTTCAAATAAATCATTATATACCTTTTTTACAATTCGATATTTCCTTAGAAAGGGAAGTAGGATTCCGCGCATGTGCAATTTTACGTAGTTCAAAAAGCGAACCTTTGTACACCAGCAGTCTTGTAATGAATTAAGTGTGCTTTTCGGTATATACTGCTAAAAATTCAAGTATAATTTTGACCAAAAACTCGATATAAATATAGGCCTATATAAGATTAATTGAAAATGTGATTATTTAAAAAACAACAACAACTGCAGAACGTTGGTAAAATATGACTACATTTAGAGATGATTGTTTTTTTGGATATACGCAGAGCTCTAATTAATACAGAGAGAGAGAGAGTATGACATTTAAGATGTGAAGTATACCTGGCAATGTTAAACGAGATAGTTTTGTTGTGAAGTATACATGGTTAAGCACGATCAATAGTAGTTGAGCTTTGATCATTTTGTGTATATATCATAATGTCAAATGTGTGATATTCTCTTTCGGAAATGGGAGATTTAAACAGTTTGTCTCATTTTCTAGCTAAACTTCTGAGACATGAAGCTAAAAAAAGAGGTTTGGAAGTAACACCAGGTATATATACGTATACATAAGCATTTATTGAATGTTCATGAATATGTTAATATTATATAGAAAACGAAAGTAAAAAGTAAATTCTGGCAAAAAAATCATTTGTATTCATAAACATAAATTTTTTGATGAAAACAGCATTTAGATTACTATACGTGTATATTTCATTGATGTAAAAGCTTTATAAACTGTAATGATAATTTTATTATTAAAGTATATTGTCTAGTTAATTACTGGCACGATCTAAATCATTTTTCGAAAATGCTTTAAGTTTTTGCTTTTTGGAAAATTATAACGAGGTAATAAAGTGGCCTGATTTTCGGAAAACTAAATGCACTGGTTTAAATTGAATTATATGTAAGAGGGTGTCGGCCTAGCGGTTTAGGTTTCGTGTTCGAGCATGATACATAGACACATAGAAAAAAGAAGGTGCATTTAACATGCATGGAATTGTTTTATATACTAAGTATACTTCACAGAAAAGGAAAAGGTTGTTATATAGTGTTACATGTATATTTACATCTTTAACACTTTATATAAGCCGCTTTTTAACATTTTTCATTTTTCTTTCTTTCATCTGATGCGGCATATAACGGGTAGGCTGTCCGTTGTAGAATTTAAGCTAATTTAGATATATAAAACTGATACGTAAAATAATGATAGTTTAAGTCTATCAAATAATGTTGACGCCCCCCCCCCCCCCCCCAAAAAAAAAAAAAAAAAAAAAAAAAAAAAAACAACAAAAAACAAAACAAAAAAACAACAAAAAACCCCCCAATAACAAACAGCAGCAACCCCAACAATTATGACACAGCACTTTATTAATCTACTGAATGCAATCACAACAGTGTTTAGTAAGTGTATAGCACAGGTGTTCGGCACTAGCCGCCCCCACCCCGGTCAGGTCGCTGTCGACTTACACTTGAGGTGACTTCGATGTAACTTATCTTCTTATTGTTATGACAACTTTATTTTCTTTAAGAGTGATCAACTCCCTACCATCTGGTACCAAGTTTTGAAACTTGGTGAAAAATGTTGCAGTTGTGGAGTTCATATTAAGATTAGTCCTGAAAAATGAGCGGCGAGTTGCATACCTTTACTAAATATACTGACGGAAATTAAATTAAAAGCATATATCAAATATTAAAACATATTTCAAATGAAAATTTACATGGTTTTGAAGAGGTAGGATGGTTGTAGAGTGGGTAACGGGGGTCGGGAGGAAGGGGTTAGTGACCAATCAACGCGCCGAACACCTGTGGTTTATAATACTTGTCAGGTACCAACCATTTGTTTGGTAGTCACTATATATATTCATTATTTTCATTTCGTTTCATGTCGTGATAAATGGATGAATTTAACTAAAATTAAGTAATCAGGCAAACATAGTATTTTTCACAGATATATATTTTCGCATAACACTTTATATATCAGCGTTGAAACTATTTTATATTTATTACAGAGGGTTATGTCAATATAGAGGATATTCTTGAACTCCCTGAAGCACGGAGATTCTCAGTGTCTGACGTAGAAGGAATTGTAAACAGAGACGGGAAAGGGCGTTTTGGTTTACGAACTAGAAATGGCATGAAACAAATAAAAGCTACTCAAGGCCACACTATGAAGGTATACATACATCTTAGATTTCAAATTATCACCCCGTCCCAAATTGCATCTTCTCGGCTATTTCTGCCAAACTTAGGAAAAGAACCTCGAACATATTAGTAAGAATACGCAGAATGGGTGCAGCATTTCTGTCTAACTTACACTAAGAAAGTCAACATGGTATCATAGGAATACTTATATGTCTTCCTTTCTCTATCACCAATTAATGAGAAAAGGACCTAAGAGCAGCAAGACTACTCCTAAAGTTCAATATGTCTATACAGTTCAGATATTTTTCAAAATTATAATGTAATTATTATTGTTACATTTAAAATTTCTGTAAAATATTAGCTTTCTATTTTCTAAACACTCACGTAAATAAATAATAATGCCGGGAGTTGTTGACTTAGTTTATTCCAATATGTATAGGTTAGTGTTTAATAATATGTATTAACAAAAATAATTGGTCAAGCCTGCCACAGGCAGGCGACCAATTATTTTTGTTAATGCATATTATTAAACATTAACCTATTTAATGATCAACATTATTTTTTCAACCAAAAACAAGGCATTTCACTAAATCACCGATAACTCCGCCCTTTCGCTCTACAAGATGTCTACGCCTTGTCAAATTTCTAACATATCACATTTAGATATAAGCTAAATAAATGGCCCTGATCAACAAATAATCAGGCACATGTTTTCTGAAATGTCACAGAATTTATACCTTTATCTACAGTAAAACAGTTCTTTTTTTTCTGTGTATCAATTTAGGTTTACAGGTGGAGGGGACTCCATTAACAATCAGTTTTCCAGCCAAAAAATGTAATCATTGTATTCTTAATATCAATGATTGTTAATGCAGTTCATTCCTATCAAGTGGAAAAAAAATGTTTTGGAAAATATAAAGTTTAAAACAGTCAGCAATTTATAACAGACATTTTCTTACAGTCAAAAGGATATAAAAAAGTTACTATGTAATCATTTGTCTCTACATGCCCCACATGTATTATCTATGTAATAAATCAATTGATTGTATCCTCACATTTACAAACACCTGACCTCGACTGTTTTTTATGTTGCCATTGTTTTGCTAACCTTAACATTTTACAAATCAGAGTGTAAACCATACCTCTAACTCCTCCCTAATATAATGCATTATTGAAATTTGTTAGACTGCGGGTTAGACGACAGATAAAGTGAATTTTATTTAGTTAGTACACATTAACCAAAGTTAGACTAAGCAGAAATTTGAAAAATACTACAATGTGATTGGACAAAAAATAATGTTGATCATTAATACGAGTAAAAGACCACCTTAATTAAGTAGATTTATAGATATAAAGATAATCAGTAAAATATTTATATATTTATTTGTATGGTTGTTGAAACGGAAAGTACAAAAAAGTCTACCGGTTGACATTAATTCAGATAATTATGTACATAATTGTTTTTCGGCGGAATGTGAATGTAAAAGTTCACTACATATAATATGATGTTTTATATTATAGCTGGACAAACTTGAGTTGACACCAATCAATCGTCATACGGATGTCAGGACTGTTCTACATGGTACGAGAAAAATGAATTGGCAGTCCATAAAGACAGAGGTATAATACTGTATCCATAGAAACGTATAAAAATTCATTATTACTACCTGGGACATATATCCCAGTTACTACAATATATATTAATATTTTTAATTTTATCAAGGTAACATTTGATTTTGATCTGATTATATTTGATAATTGGTGGATAACGATGGGTTATAAAAACCATAAATCGGACATAATAATATTTTAAAGTGGAAAAAAGGAGTCTACTTTCGACGATCGCAACTTCTCGGACCTATCCGTCAAACTTCGGATAAGAATATGAATAATAGCCGAGATTTTCCGATTGTTCTTTCGATGCAATCGGAACACCTCGGCCGACTTCAAGTCAATCTCCGAACTTGACGGAGATTGCCGAGTTGTTACGATTGCTTTCGATGGTCGTGTCGACTTCCGGTTATCGCAAGAAAAAGTAGAAGCAGGTGCTTGTTAATGGCAAGACATGATACACAATGACTCGCAAGATAGATGCAACGATTTAGATTATCTTCTGGGTATATCGAACTCTTTGGAGTGGTGGTTAAGGCCGATGACTAAGTATCACTCAATTGGAACATCTCAGTCTTTATCTATGATAACGGTCCTTATCCACAAACTGGCGGAATGTTTTTATTTTGGTTTTTTAAAATTGGCTACAATTGGCTATTGTAATCTTTCTTTTCATTTCTAGGGATTGTCAAAAAGAGGAAGAACTCACATTCATTTCGCTGCAGGGGAAAATGTGCAAAGCGGTAAGTTTTAAAACATGACAGTAACTTGACCTAGTTTTCGGCTTTTAAAACTTTATTTTCCGTTTTTAAACAATTTGTTCCTGCATAATTTGTACCCACTTTGCCACAGTGTAAAATAAGGAACGCTGACCTATAAGCTCATCCTGTCCAGCTTTGTCGGTCATGTGAGGAAGGCAGGCGGTTTTACTAAGGTGCTCATTCGTACCTGAAATATGCAAATTCATTAATATTCCTTTACCAGTAAAGCTGGACAACCGCCACATGGCCAATATCAAACCATATTAAATCGTATACAACTTAAAAAGGCAGTCGTCTTAAGCACAGATATATTCTTATATTTAGCTCCATGTCTTAAGTATAGAATTTCTTACTTCATCAGGACAGTGTTAGCGTATCAACAAAAGTCTCGGGTTAAATACTTAGACCTGACTGAACATGAATTTATCTTGTAATATGCAAGTATATGACGAATTCAATCATGCGAGTAAATCAGGTAAACACCCAGAAACAAATACACAGATACCATCATCTGATATATGTAATTACTTTCTTAATTATGTGGATATCATGACATTTTTTCAGGATTCCCACCACGATGTGATATGGTTATAGAAATAGATCTACAGAAGGCATTGGCAGGTAAAATGGGATTTTTTTAGAAAGAAATAGAATGATATTCAATTTGTATTGACACTGTTTGAACGCATGCTAATAGGATACGTCTTTGAAAATGTAACTATTTTTGTCAAATTACCATTCTAAGGTCAGATTACTGTATTGTAACATAGCGATTTGCTGCAGAAACCCGAAATATTCAATTGGACAATTGGTGAGTGATTGGATGAAAATGTGATGTTTACAAGATGAAAATTATTTAAGAAATAAAAACTACATTGTTTTGTTAAGAAAATGAACTGCTTCATAAGTCTCTATGATAATTTTTCACTTGGATATTTGCATTTTAAAAAAGTATATGTCAGTCCTGTGATCAGCATACAATTTCAGTGAAAAGGGGGGTAATCGTTTTTAAGGACATTTTGCGAAACATTTGGTCGGTCAACCCTATAAGTAACAATGTCATTTTGATATGTCAGGCATGTCATTCTCCTAGAAAAATTACATCTTTAGCATGAATATTCAATTTTAAGGAAGGTTTAGAGCTAGTTTCTTATAATGTAAGTTTATTTGAAAATTAATACAGTAGTCTGGCCCTCATCATGCAATTGTACGTAATATTAGTTAAATTAAGCTTGTCTACTGTGTCGAGCATTTTAATCGTGAATGTGGTAGCTAGCACATTGTTAATTTGAATTTATTAGCATACGATTTATTTCGATTTTGTTTGTTACGTAAATGAATATGGGCATCTTGGCGACAAAATTTACTTTCGGTTTCTAAAGACATAAAATTAAGGTTATAAATAATGTATTTTTACTGGTATGTCTATAAATTTATTTTATTACAGCAGACTGTTACACGATAACTGGTGCAATTTCATCCGAAATTTACTGGAATGATCAGTGCCAAGTCTTGTTGTACATATCGTCGGCATTTTCAAGTTCAATGATTTTTTCTATCAAAAATATGGTTCAGTGATTTTTTATCAGGATTATGGCTCTTTAATGATTTGTATTTTAAAAGTTTGTCCGGTTATTTTTCTTATACCAGTTATGTAATTTCAATGAAACTTTATAGGATTGATCTTTAGCGGAAGTTCTTGTGCATATTACACGAGTTTTCCGGTTGAATGAATTTTTACTGAGTTATGGCCCTTGAATAAAAAAGGCGTTTAGGCATGTTATTGATACACAGTGGCTACAGCATTCTACAAAGTTTCCGCAACACACAGGGAACAAACTAGTCAATCAATAACTTCTTAATTGGCTCTCATCAGGCGACACATGTGATATCTGATAGCTCTTGTTTATTTTTCTCATTTTAGATGGCTATAAATTTTACAAATCGGAAAACGATGTTATTTTAAGTGAAGGGAATGGTAATGGTGTAATACCACCAAAGTATTTCAAACGTGCATACGACCTCCATTCTCGTAAGTGTATTTTTTAAATATATACTTTTTTCTTGTCCTGTAGAATTTTATGTATATGATTTAACTGCTTTGGATTTGAACAATCCATTCAAAGTTGAAAGGAATTCTTATCATAATACAAAAAAGAAAGAGGTACCACCAGTATAGAGCAGGGCTGGAATGCACCAATATGCAGATTTGCACAGTTCTGTATTTGTGGTATTGCTTATTACTCTAGGAGGGGGCGTCCATGGCCGAGTGGTTAAGGTCGTGGGCTTCAAAACACTTCCCCCTAACCGTAGGTTCGAATTCCGCCAGGGACTTTGGATTCCTTCATGTAAGGAAGCTATCAAGCTGGTACGGAACGTCATTGGTTCTTCTCAGGCGACCGCTCGTGCTTGATATAATACACGGAAGGGCACTACATGTCTTTTTTTTACCCGAATGTGTCCAGTATTGTGAGTTTCGTCCAAGACTTAAAATGTTATTCAGTGTTTGCTGGTGCGGTTCTCCTTGTATACTATATAATTCCCTGCTATTAACAACTTACAATAAGTGCCAAGCTTTTTTCTCTATACATGTCAATGAAAAGCTTTTACTCGTATGTGGTGTATTGTAAACATTCAAACTGTAAATATAATACTGGAAACATAAGTGTTTTGATGTATGGGAATGAAAAAAAATCTATTGACTCTTTGATCATATTTTCTGCCAATCTTTTTTTCAGATACAGATATCTCGTTACAGTGACTGCAAAAGAAATTTGATTCAATCATTTCATATCAATGCCTCGAAACTACGTGACACATTTTGTGCCTTCTGTTTATGGATTTTTTATCCACAAGCTGGGACGGAAGATAACTGTATCATTCTGTCCAAGCTACAGCACACTTGTAAATATATCACAGGTTACGGTATTAAATGAATTATAATCGGTATGTGCACCGTATAGGTATTAAATGAATTATATACGGATCATGTACCGTATAGGTATTAAATGAATTATATACGGAATGTGTACCGTATTTTTATCAGATTATTTATATACGGAATGTGTACCGTATGATGTTTAAATAAATAGTGCCATCTGTGATTATTTATACATTTAAACTGCAAGACGTAATTTATTTTAATAACTACGATGTATATTTAGTGCCATATGTAAATAGTTTAATCATTTTAAACTACTAGACACTTTTTTATTTCCTCCTTTTTATATTTCTATCTGCATAACACATTTTATGTCACCTGTGATAGTTTATTTTCCTTTGAACTACGAGACACATTTTGCGTCATCTGTTGTTTATACTTATACTTTTAAACTTCATGACCTATTTATTGTCATCTGTTAAACGGTTCTCCACCGTGGAACATAAAATTTGAAATTCTTTCATAGATCAACTGTGGCACTTAAAGCGGAAAACACGCAACATATGATAAAGACATTTACTTAGAATTAAACTGAAAACGGCTAGCTTAAGTGTGAATCTTCGTCTGATTTCAGTTAAATGCGTTTAAATGCTTTCTTATTTTTATCATTTTAATAGCAATAAAATCCTTATTTTTTTTTTGGAAAACGACAACAACAACAAAATATGAAAAAAAAACCAGTCCATTTGCGTAAAAAATCTCAGTGTAGTCTCTTTTAATATCTACAAAACACAGTTATTGTCATTATGTGGATACTTAATTAACTTAAATGTCATTTGTTTGTATCTATTTATACCTTTTCTTACAACGAAATACCTTTATTATTGAAATTTGTTAATTGTTATACTTTTAAACTTCGAGACACACATACCTACTTGTGCCTTCTTTTGATAGCCAAACATTTTAACTACCACATTTAAATTCTATTAAGTATTACTTTATGCTGTTATATGATAAGCTCTTTTTACTGATTTTTTTTATTCTATGAAGTTATTGTTATTCTTGTGACTTTGTGTAAATGACTGACATTTTTATCTGTAATAAAATTCATATGTATGCTATTTGTTTTGTTTCTTTAATATTCAGTAGTTTAACCTACTATTGCTCCGCCCACGTAATCACGTGATCAAGTAAGACACACCCATCCTTAAACGAGTAGATATGGACATGGAGTTTTTGGTATAGTAAACTTTAGAGAATTCTAAACAAGAAAATAAAATTAATAATTCCTTGAATGGAACAGACAAAGAAATTGATCTATAAGCACTATAATGTACATGCATGCATTTGGGGAATAATGACATAGGTCACGAATTTGCACGCGTGTGAATTACTGAAGAAATTGATACAATAGTGTCATGTAAATTTTGTGGCCGGTTATAATACTTAAAAAAAATCATTTTATATTATTATAACAGCAGGTGTCAAGTGTTATGTGGCAGTCCATACTTCGCATAAGTGATGTTATATTTTCTGGTCCTTCGGGATCATTGAGTCCAGTAGTTTTAAATGTTAAAAATTGAGTACCGCTCAAGCCGGCGCTAGGGGGTTAGGGATGTTGCACTTCATTATCCCTCATGTATAGACTCAATCAAGCCGCGTATGCAATTTTCATGTATATTTGCTGTTTTTAATGCTTCCAAAGGATCAATATATTCCAGATTTGGTCTATTTGGAAAGTGATAGGAAACGTCGCCATCTTAATGTCACCGTTTCCTCTTGCGCAAACCAAAGAACATCATTAAACATCCGCGTAACAATAGAGTCCGATGCATTTATGTAAATCACAAAATAATTTAACTTCCATAAAATGAAATAACAATTTCTTTAAATCACCAAAATTGCATCGTTTTATGAAAAATTATCATTAAAACATAAATTGTGGATATTTTATGAAATATGATCGAGGCATATTATCTCATGTGCACCACCAAGTAACTTGTGTTTTCTCATTCGCACGACTTAGTACGGTGGCACAGAGGTGACATATTTGCGTGTTTATTTATCTCATGCGCACGAGATACTATGTCACCGTAAAGATGTCAAAACTATGTTACAATTAAGAATAGAACATCCTGGCTTTTTACTCTAATACTGACCTACATTGACTTAATCAGCATATAGTGAACACGTTCTTCCTTATAAAAATTATATGATGATTGATATCTCATACAATATGTCCCTTTATTGGAAATTAAATTAATTATATTATTTTCTATTCTATCATTCTATTCTATTTTATTCTACTCTATTCTATTCTCATATTCTATTTTATTATATTCTAGATGTACCTCCATACCACACAACTAAATCCTAAATCAGGAGGTGTTTCAAATAAATCATTATAGACCGTTTTTTACAATGCGATATTTCCTTACTTAGAAACGAAAGTAGCAGTTCGCGCATGTGCTTTATTGCATAGTGCAAAAAAATTTAAACGAAACTTTTTAGACCAGAAGTTTTGTACTTCAGTGTACTTTTCGGAATATACTGTTAAAGATTTAATCATATTATAATAATAATATATATACTTTCTTTAGAGATGATTGTCTTTGAGTATTGCTATTTTGAATACACGCAGAGGGGTATGACATATTTAAGATGTGAAGTATACCTGACAATTATGTTGTAATGTTAAACGAGATATTTTTGTTGTAAAGTATACATGGTTAAGCACGATCAATAGTAGTTCGAAAACAAGTTAAATTTGTGTATATATAATAATGCCAAATGTGTGATATTCTTCTTCGGAAATGGGAGATTTAAATAAGTTTTCTCGTTTTCTAGCTAAACTATTGAGACATGACGCCAGAGGCTTGGAAGTAACACCAGGTATTATATGCGAATATACATGTATTAAATGTTGATGAATACGTTTATATAGAAAACGAAAGTAAAATTCTAGCAAAAAAAAAGTCATATGATTAATATACTTTCTGATGTATTGAGATTATTATACATTTAAATGTTGTTAATGTTAAAGCTTTATAAAAGCTAGTAATGTTAATGTTATTATAGAAGTTTTGTCTAGTTAATTACTGGCACGATCTAAATCATTTTTCGAAAATGCTTTTAGGTTTTCTTTTTGGAAAATAATAATAAGGTAATATAGTGACCTGATTTTCGGAAAACTGTTTGCATAGATTTAGGTACCGTGGCCTTAAACCAAAAGACACAATATAGAGACCAATTGACCAACCAAAACCGAAGCTTCGGGGTGAGCTATTAGTTTCAAAGGGGGATGCTCCGTCGTCCGTCGTCATGCGTCAACACTCATATTCTTCCCTGAACCTGCTGGACAGATTTACTTCAAATTTGGTCTGTAGCATCCTTGAGACAGTCACACTTAAATTTGCTCATGCCTTTTCAATTTCAATTGGTCGTTTTTAGGGATCAACAGTGCTAACAAAGAAAAAAACTTTCACTGAACTAATTGATGGATGATCACTAAACTTTGTCTGTATCATTCTGTAGTAGTTCTCTATCAACGTTGCTCATATTAATTTGATTGGCTCCTTTAAGAGGCCGATAAAGCTAAACATAGAAAAAAAAACTTTAAACATCTTTTTCAACTAAAATATTTGATGGATGGTTACCAAACTTTGCCTGTATTATTCTTAGAAAGTATTTTATCAAATTTGCTCTTATTGATTTGATTGGCTTCTTTTAGAGGCCGCTAAAGCTAAAAATAGAATAAAATCTTGAAACACCTTTTTCTACTGAACTAAGTGATGGATGATCACAAAACTTTGTCTATATCATTCTTAGATAGTCTTTGATCACTTTTACTAAAAATGAATAGAAAACCTTGAAACATTTTCTACTGAGTTAATTGATGGATGACCACCAAACTTTGTCTGTAGCATTCTTAGGCCGTCTTTTATAAAAAGGCTCCAGAATAAAAAGGAATTTAGAAAGCGTGAGTTGACATGCATAACTTGCCAGGTGTACAGTAACATGAACTTAGGCCATTTTTTAAAGATTCCTTTTTTATGCAAAATCGTGAAACTATTTAACTAGAAGGACAAGTTGAAGTTGATCTGAATTTGCCTTTTGGCAATTGCATTTGAATGATTATTTCTAACACTGAAAAACAGTTGTTTCTGATGAGCGATTCAGTGCCATCATTCCCCTTATGTTTTTCTTTGTCCATTTCTGAATATTCGTTTACTAAATGGTAGCTCGAAAAACATTTTGATGATCTTTATATATTGTCTTTCTAACAATTAAGATAAATTGTTTGATTTTAACTACGTTTAATAAACTTCAGAAAAATATCATGAAAAAAATGTGTAATCAGACAATAAAAGGTGTACTTTGCATGCATGCAATTGTTTTATAAACTAAGTTGACTTCACATAAAAGGTTTTTAATTATTATTATTTTTCAGTCAAACTTATGGGTCAATATTAATGCTTATAATTGCATGGACAGAACTATCTATTGATAAAATAATTATAATTACAATCAATGAATAATCAAAATTAGTGCATTTGAATCAGACAATATCAGTCAAAGATAATTACACATGTTCTGAGAATCAATTGAATAAAAAACAAAACAAAAAACGCCGGCATTTTGTCTATTTCATATTTGTATTTTTATTCTTCCTTCATCTCAAAACAAGTAATATATACAAAACATTACCTACAAAACATTACCTTTACTAATTGACAACTAATTAAATAACAACGTTTTAAAAACCAATAAAATAAGACCATTGTATAAAATTGTCAAGGAAATATCGGTGACTAACATGATATTTGTTGAAACATTTGGCAGTTTATATTTGACTAAAATAATTAGTTTACAACCAGAAATGCTTAAAGTACAAGATTGCAACCAAAATGCGTTTGAACAAGATATTTTTTGTGTGTTGAAACTTTATTTTCAACAACTTAGAATAAAAAATTTACACAAGATTGACAGAAAATGTTTTTTTGGTGAATTTTAAATCTTACAGATGTGAATAAATGAGTAGAAAATTTGACCAGAATTGTTACTTGTCTTTTCGCAAAATGTGTACATGACCAATTTATATCTTCAACAAATTCGTCAAATCAGAATCTAGGAGCTAAAACCCCAAACCGGATGAATCATTAGCATTGCCTTGAGAAATGGATATAATAAGGATGTGTATTACAGCAAAAATCGGTGATAACTTAATAATTTAAACTTCAAGGCCAAGGTCAAAAATGACCATATGTTACCAACTTTACTTTGATATTCACGGAGGTCATATCCAAAAGAATTTTGAATCTTAATATGAAGTCAATCCATTAATTAATTACAAAGTTATAGCCAGTTTAGGCAAAAAGAGGAAAGTTCGACCTTCTTTCGTAAATGACATCGACCTTCAAGGTCAAATGTCTGAATTTTGCTTGATTTTTGCTGATTTTGCTTTAAATAGGTATAACTCAGTTATGGATTTTCTGCAAACTTGAACACAACTATCTTTTAGGATAGAGATTGTTAACTAGACAAACCTTGACCATCATTCATAAATAACCTTGACTTTTGAAGGTCAAATTATTGCAATTTTCATTATATTTATTGACTGTACATCACTATGTAATAATAAATGGATTATCTTCAAACTTGAACAAAACAACTCTTTGGACAAAATAGAGAAAATAAGAATCCCTAAAGAAATCGCAAAACGGCAAAATTGAAAATGTTACAGGCTCGGCTTGATTGACAGCACTGTCAAGTGCAAACTACTTCTTTATTAAGCAAAATTCAACATTTAAACATGGAATGGTAAACTTTGAATTAAGAAATATCCGCAGATGTGTTCTTACGGCGGATATCATGGAACCTTCAATGTGACATTTCCGTGCCATTCCTTGAAAAGCGGCGTATGGTAAAATTTAATTTTGTTATCGGCTGACCTAGATTTCGATAAATTGACATACTGTTCGTTGATGAAAAGCTATGACATTTGGACCATGTGCACAGTTTTTGATGTATCATTGAACTTTGATATCAGCTGATCTAGATTTTGACAAGTGACCTACTTTATTGTTCTTTAATGTGCAGCTATGTAATTTGGACTATGTGCACAGTTTTGGATGCGAAATTGACATGAACGTGACTAGACATCTTTTTTAAAGGTTTGTTTAAACATTTTATTTGTAAGATTTGAAAAAGAAAAAGAAAGTCGAGCGTTGGCCCCGTCCGGCAGTGGCTTTTGTTTCATTTCGAGAAAATTGGATTCGTTATTAATTAATTTTTTGTTATAGATGGCTATGTCAATATAGAGGATATTCTGGAACTCCCTAAAGCACGGGGATTCACAGTGTCTGACGTAGAAGGTATTGTCAACAGAGACCGTAAAGAGCGTTTTTGTATACGAACTAGAAGTGGCAAAAAACAAATAAAAGCCGCTCAAGGACACTCTTTGGAGGTACATGTATACATACATTGTTCTTAAATCGACTTGCATACAATGGGGTCAACGTTTTCATAGTTCTTACAGTCATAGAACAATTCTAATATGGTGAAGAATTGATGAAAATGTTCTAGTTCTTCACGTCTATTGAAATTAATTTTTATGTAATGTACGATAAGAGGCGATTCACTTTAATATTGTCTTATATTTCAAAGTAGCAACGCCACCGCCAGAATCACATTTTCTTTTGATCGTTATTTGTCGTGAATATGTGATGATTGGTTAATTAGTTTATAATTGCCTTGGTTAATTTTCACAATATCACATACATACATAATCTTTTATACATGTATTAACGTTGATTATGTTTTATTTATGCACTTTTATCAGATAAGGAGGACCGCCTCCGTGGTCGAGGGGTTAGAGTCGATGACTTCTAATCCAGTTACCTCTCTGGCGTTGGTTCGATCCCCGGGAGATGCTTAAGTAGTTTAGCACGGAGGAAGGTAGTCTGGTACTGGTGTAACTCTCCAGGAACGATGGTTAGGAAACTACCCGCCTATATGACTGAAATACTGTTGGGAAAAAGGCGTAAAATGAAACAAATAAACAAACAAAAATCAGATAAGGATAGTTTTAATTTAAAAACACACCTTGCGCATTATATGATGTTTTATATTATAGCTTGACAAACTTGAGTTGACACCGATCAATCGCCATACGGATGTCACAGCTGTTCTACATGGTACGAGAAAAATGAATTGGCAGTCAATAAAGGCAGAGGTATAATACTGTATCCATAGAAACGTATAAAAAATTCATTGTTACTAGTCTACAATTTATAATATTTTTAATTTTATCAAGGTTACATTTGATTTTGATAAGATTAAATTTGATAATTGGTGGATAACGATGGGTAATTAAAAGCATAAATCGAAGATAATAGTATTTTGAAGTGGAAAAAAGAGTCTACTTCGGACGATCGCAACATCTCGGACCTTTCTGTCAAACTTCGGATAAGAATATGAATAAAAGCCGAGAATTTCCGATTGTAATTTCGATGATCGTGTCTACTTCCGGTTATCGCAAGAAAAAGAGGTAGCAGGTGCTTGTTAATCGCAAGACATGATACACAATGACTCGCAAGACAGGTGCAACGATTTAGATTATCCACTGTGATGTAATATAAATCGAACTATTTGGACAGGTGGTTATGACCGATGATTTAGTACCACCCAATCGGAACATTTTGGTCTTAATCTACAATAACATTCCTTATCTACAGACTGGCGGCATATTCTTATATTGGTATTGTAAAATTGGCTATTCTTTCTTTTCTTTTCATTTCTAGGGACTGTCAAAAAGAGGAAGAATTCACATTCATTTCGCTGAAGGGGAAAATGTGCGAAGCGGTAAGTTTTAAAACATGACAATAACTTGACCTAGTTTCCGGCTTTTAAAAACGTTATTTTCCTTTTTTAAACAATTTGTTCCTTCATATGTTGTACCCATCTTGCCACAGTGTTAAATCAGGAACGCTGAAGACCTTATAAGCTCACCTTGTCCAGCTTGGTCGGCCTAAATTAAAAGTCTTTGCAAAAGATGGAACAGCACAAGCATACAGCTTTACAGATTTACGTATGTGTTTGAATTCATCTCGATACATCTTCATTGTCCAACGTACAGGTTAATGTTTTCTTTTACTTCAAACCACAAACCCTCACCTGTGGGTTCTTTCATGTGAAGAAGGCAGGTGGTTCTACTAAGGTGCCCCTTCGTACCTGAAATAATGCACGGAGGGGCAAATTCATTAATATTCCTTTACCAGTAAAGCTGGACAACCGCCACATGGCCAATATTAAACCATATTAAATCGTATACAATTAAAAAAATCGTCAATTAAAAAGGATTCTTACAATTTTAGCCCCAGGGTCTTAATATAGAATTCTTATTTCAACGAACAAAAGCTCGTTTGAATACTTAACTGACTAACATGAATTTCTTGAAATATGCAAGTATATAAACGAATTCAATCTGGAGTAAATCAGGTAAACACCCAGAAACAAATTCACAGATACTATCATCTGATATATGTAATTACTTCCTTAATTATGTGGATATCATGACATTTTTTTCAGGATTCCCACCACGATGTGATATGGTTATTGAAATAGATCTACAGAAGGCATTGGCAGGTAAATATTGGATTTTTGATAAAGCCTGTAAAAGAAGGAAAATAAATGATATTAAATTTTTATTGACAAAGTTTGAACGCATGCTTATATGATACGTCTTTGAAAATGTAACTCTTTTTTGCCAAATTGTCTAACTCTAAGGTCAGATTACTGTATTGTAACATAGCGATTTGCTGCAGAAACCCGAAATATTCAATTGGACAATTGGTGATTGGATGAAAATGTGATGTTTACAAGTATGAAAATTATTTAAGAAACTAAAACTAGATTGTTTTGTTAAGAAAATGAACTGCTTCATAAGTGTCTATGATAATTTTTTCTCTTGGATATTTGCATTTTAAAAAAGTATATGTCAGCATAAAATTTCAGTGAAAAGGGGGGTAATCGTTTTAAGGACATTTTGCGAAACATTTGGTCGGTCCACTCTATAAGTAACAATGTCATTTTGATATGTCAGGCATGTCATGAACAAACTATCATAACCTTATACACCTAAATTTTCATTCTTGTTTTTTTTTTCATTTTAGATGGATATAAATTTTACAAATCAGAAAACGATGTTATTTTAAGTGAAGGGAATGGTAACGGTGTAATACCACCAAAGTATTTCAAACGTGCATACGACCTCCATTCTCGTAAGTGTTTTTTTTAAATATACTTTTTTTCTTGTCCTGTAGAATTTGTGTAAATGATTTAACTGCTTTGGATTTGAACAAACCATTTAAGGTTGAAAGAAATTCTTATCAAAATACAAAAAAGAAAGAAAGAGCTACCACCAGATAGGCCTGGCTGGAATGGAACCTTCGTTAGCACAGCTATACTGGTCATTGGTTTTTCTGGGGGCGTCATTTGGCCGGGGTTGGTCGTTGCTTAAAAACTTGAAGAGCAACCGAGGCTTTCCCTCCAACACTAAAAGCTGATAAGTCGGTCACTGAAAGTCAGGTTTTTGGTCGGCGATGGCCCCTTTATTTTTTTTAAGGTTAAAAAATAAATTACATGTCTCTTTTTTACCCGAATATGTCCAATATTTTGAGTTTTCGGCCAAGACTTAAAATGTTATTCAGTGTTTGCTGTTGCGGTTCTCATTGTATACTATATAATTCACTGCTTTTAACTTACAATTAGTGACAAGTTTGTTTCTCTATACATGTGAACGAAAAGCTATTACTCGTATGTGGTATAATAGGCTATTGCAAACATTTAAACTGTAAATACAATACTGGAAACATTAGTGTTTTGATGTATGGGAATGAAAAAAATCTGTTGACTCTTTGATCATATTTTCCGCCAATCTTTTTTCAGATACAGATATCTCGTTACAGTGACTGCAAAAAGAATTTTGATTCCATCATTTCATATCAATGCCTCGAAACTATGTGACACATTTTGTGCCTTCTGTTTATGATTTTTTTTATCCACAGGACACTTGTAAATATATCACAATTTACGGTATTAAATGAATTATAAACGGTATGTGCACCGTAAAGGTATTAAATGAATTATACAAGATACGGAATATGTACCGTATAGGTATTAAATGAATTATATACGGTATGTGTACCGTATAGGTATAAAATGAATTATATACGGAATGTGTACCGTTTAGGTACCGGTGATGTTTAAATAAACAGTGCCTGTGATTTATTTTTTATACATTTAAAACTGCAAGACGTAATTTATTTTAATAACTACGATGTACGTATATTTAGTGCCATATGTAAATAAGTTTAATGCCTTTTATAACTATCTTTACACTTTTTTATTTCCTCTCCTTGTTTAAATTTTTCCGCCCTAAATCCTGCAATACCACATTTTATGTCCACATGTGATTAGTTTATTTTCCTTTGAACTAGGGGAACCATTTTTGCGTCATCTGTTGTTTATACTTATACTTTTTAAACCTTCAGGGACCTATTTATTGTCATCTTTTAAAAACGGTTATCCACCGTGGAACATAAATTTCAAATTCTTTCATAGATCAACTGTCATTTTCAAGCGGAAATCAAGCAACATATGAAATAAAGAATTTTACTTAGAATTAAATGAAAGACGGCTAGCATATTTTATAAGTGTAAAATCGTTCGTCTGTTTCATTTTAAATTGCGTTTAAAATGCTTTCTTATTTTTACCCTTTTAATAATAAGTAATATTGTATTTTGGGAGGAAAAACAACAACGAAAACCAAAAACAAATAGAAAAAAAACCAGCCTTTTTGGGTCAAATTTAAAGTGTAGCCTTTAAAATATTACAAAACAAGTTATTGTTTTCTTTGATATTTAAATTAATTTGTTTAAATCTTTAAAATTTCTTACAAGGGGAAATACCTTTATTTTAAATTTGTAAATTGTTATATTTTTTAAATTTCCCGAACAACCCTACTTGTTGCCTTTTTGAACCCAAAATTTTTAATTCATATTTAAAATTCTTTTAAGTATTATTATGCTGTTATAATAAGTTTTTTATTTTTTTTTTATTCAAATAAGAAAATTGTAATTATTTTGATTTGTGTAAAAGATGACCTTTTTAAATTTTAAAATTTTATTAGTTTTTTTTTTGTTTTTAAGATTCTTGATAAAATTGTCCCCCCCATGAAACTGAAAATAAGCCAACCCCATCCTTAAAACGATAGATAGCTCGGGGATTTTTTAATGGGGTAAATTTTTTAGAGTTTTTTTAAAAAACAAGAAATTTAAGGTTTTTTAATAACTTTGAAAATTAAACAGACAAAAATTGATCTATTTGCACTTTGATGTACATGCTGCATTGGGGAGTAATAATAGGATAATTTTCACGCGATTTTAATTAGAAAATTGATAAAAATAGTGTCATGAAAATTTTGGCCCGTTATGATACTAAAAAAAATTTTAAAAATTATAACAAGGGGCCCAAATGCTTGTGGGAGTCCGAACTTACATAAGGGAGTTAATTTTTTTGGTCCTACGGGAAACATTGAGTCCCAAAAAAATTTTTAAATGTTTTGAGAATTGAGTACCCCTCAAGCCGGGCAGGGGCGTGAGGAATGTTGCCCCTTTTTTTTTAACCCTCTTGTTCAACCGGTTTGCAATTTTTTTGTATATTTGCTGTTTAAAATTTCCAAAGGGGTCAATTTTTTTCCAGATTTGGGGCTATTTTTGGAAAGGTATAGGGAAAATCCCATTTAAAGTCCCTTTTTTTCCTTGCGCAAACCAAAGCATCATAAACATCCGGGGGCCCAAAAAAGCCCATGCATTTATGTAAATCACAAAAAAAAATTTTTAAATTCCCCTAAAATGAAATTTAATTTTTTTGAAATCAAAAATTTTTTCGTTTTATGAAAAAATTTAATTAAAACATAAAATTGGGATAAATTTTTTGAAATTTATCGAAAACATTTATTTGGCACCACTTTTTAATCGTCTTTTTCCCCGCACGATTTTTAAACGTGGCAGACATAGTTCTGTGCGCACGGGATAAAAAAAAAATTTAAAAACAATTTTCACCCTTTCCACCCTAAAAATGTTAAATTGAACTTAATAAAAACATCCTGGCTTTTTCCCCTAAAACCTAATTACTTTAAAAGTTATAATGAACACGATTAAATACACATATTCTTCTTTATATAGAATTTATTTTGGTTTATATGCCATACAATAAAGTAATTCTATTCTTTTATTTTCTATTCTATTCTATTCTATTCCATTCTATTTTATAATATTCTAGTTACCATTTCGTGTAATTTTATTCTGTTTTACATAAATATCTCACAAGCAATAAGGTAGATTTTCACAAAACTTCAAATAAATCATTTTATCTGGCCTTTTCTTCTTCTTTCTCTTCTATCTCATTTTTCTTTCTGAACTCACCAGAAATGTTTGTTTTTTGATATTTTTTATATATATTTATGTATCTAACATGACTCGGTATCTTTATTTTTCCATGAACATACTTCTCCGCCAACAAACGACATTTCGTTCGCCTGACTAACAGGGAAAATACTTCCATAAGCATTTGGTTGCTTCCAGTTTAATTCTTTTTTGTTTGTTTGTTTGTTTGTTTCATTTTACGCCTTTTCCTAACAGTAAATTTATAATGGGGGGAGTTTCCAAAAAACGTTCCTGGGGGATTACCCCGTACTAGAACCTTCCCCCGGCTAAACCCACCAAAAGGGTTTTGGGGTTGATTATAAAAGTCATCTTAAAAATTTTTTCATGTGAGAATAAATATGTTTTTAGGAATGACCATTTGGGTATTCAAAAGTTTATCCGCAAATGAATCAAAAGTAACTGTTCAAAAATTTAGCTTAGTAACTTAGTTAATATATATGTATATAAAACACTTGACAAACATATGTATGTTTGTCGAAAGCCACACTTGCCGCCATAGTTTTCGCTGAAGAGTTGAGTCCATCGCTGCGGCGGCGAAGCATTGGACACAGCTTTGTATAAATATGGCTTCCAGTTCATTTATCGCTGTCATCTTTAAGGTTCCTACCGGATTTTACATTATTTAGAAGCCATGACCACAAGCCAGTGTGAAATGAAATGAAAAATACGGTGTTCCGTTTGGACAATCGTGACTCTTTATTTAGTCTGTACCCGCAATGCACGATGGTACGATGGTAAACGCGATGGTACGATGGTGAAAACGCGATGAAACATCGCGTTTTTAACATCGTACTATTGCGCCATCGCGTTTTCATCATCGTAACATCGTGTTTTCACCATCGTACCATCGTGCATCGCTGTAACAGACTAAATTAAATATCATGCCTGTCCAAACGGAACACCGTACAAAGGCCACTATTTTTTCGCGCTTTGTTTCATTGATAATACTCTAATAATGCAAAATTTAAGAAACTTTGCTGCGCTTGTTTAATTTCTTCTTTTTAAAAATGCATAACTCCCAGAAATGTCTTGTACTCGAACGAATCAATGTTCAAATATGTGACCAGGAGGCAGGAACTGAATGCGATGATTCAATGCTGAAGTGACAGCCAGTTGTTAACCGTTAAAGATCCTGTATGTTGTGACTAAGTGGTAAACCACATTCAGTGAATTATACATACATTTGTATATGTATATAATTATGCTGATGAAACAATTTTCAAACATCAAAGAATATGCAAAATATGTACTGCAAATATTTGTGCATATAACATGTAATCATTAAAATATTTGCATTCATTTCTGATTGGAAAATTTGACTCAAAATTGATAGAAAATCAATTTCTTATTACCTCCCCTTACTTACATGAAATGTTAAATTCGGTATTATCCTTATAAATAATGTTTTTTTTGGAACCTATAATATTGATAAATTTTAACTTGAACATCACATTTATGATTTAAAACCATTCAAAAAATGTGTTACAGGATCTTTAAGTGGCCACGTTGAATAAATATTCAAATACCTGACAGCAAATTGGAAACCGTTAAGTGGCCACGTTGAATAAATGTTCAAATACCTGAAACCGAATTGGAAACCGTTAAGTAGCCAAGTTGAATAAATGTTTAAATACCTGACAGCAAATTGGAAACCGTTAAGTGGCCACGTTGAATAAATGTTCAAATACCTGACAGCAAATTGGAAACCGTTAAGTAAACGCGTTGAATCCATGTTAAAGCGAGAAAACTCATTTGAAGCCGTTAAGTTTAAGCGCTGAAGGAATGTTGAAATATCTGACAGTATTTTTGATACCGTTAAGTTAAAACGTTAAACCAATGCTGAAATGCGTGAAAACCAATTTCAAACCGTAAAGTGGACACGTTGAATGAATATTTGAATACGTGTAAACATAATGGAAACCATTAATTCGGTACGTTGAAGAAATATTGAAGAAACGTTCAATGTTCCAGTAAACGGGCGCTTTTTCATTGAATGACACTTCTGTCTAACATTAATTGGAGGTTCCATGATTACCTTACGAACATATCTGCAGATGTTTCTAATTTCAAATACGTGCGTTCCGAGTGAGTGTCTAAAACACAAACTAAAATTAATTCTGTATGAATATACATACGTTTTATCGCACAATTTACAAAGGTGCCTTATTTAGTTCCGCCCATTTTTTTTCTCGTAACGGGCAAGTTCTTTTACCCGGGGACCATACGCCGCTTTTTCATTGAATGACACTTCTGTCTAACATTAATTGGAGGTTCCATGATTACCTTACGAACATATCTGCAGATGTTTCTAATTTCAAAATTTCACCATTTTCATGTTAAAATGATGAATTTTGCTTCAGCCGGTGCTAGGAGGCGTGGTCGGTAGTTTGCCATTGACAGTATCATCCATGCACAAGCTCAATCAAACCGATCCTGCAACATTTTCAATTTAGTCGTGTTGGGCTTTATTTAGAGATTCTTATTTTCTCAATTTTATGATTTAAAATCGTGAAATGGTTTGACAAGTATATCCAGATTTTATACATACGAAATCACGATTCCTACAATGAGCGCAAGGCGCGATTATACTCATATTAAAGGAGTAAGATAGTTAGAGTCTTTTGGCACCAAAATAAAGCTTTCATCTTATCTCCAAAGGCCTGAGAACGTAAGTAAATCAAACAGACGTAAAAGTGTTCATGTATTTAGACCAAAGTAGCTAGATTATCTTGCATTTATACAGATAACACCATGGTTCCTATGAAGACAACCGTTGCTCTGTTTGCTTTAGGTTAGTATGATATTTTCTGTATCTTATTTTCATTAAAAATGGTGTTATTTTGTTCTTACATATACATATATAAACTTAATTTGTGCGTTAACACATGTCTTTGGCAAAGAAACAAAAATTTTGGTGAAAATGAAACAAAAATTATGGTCACTACCTAGTGTCGATGATTTAACTCTGAGAATAATATTTTTCATTTCGTTGTAAATACACTTTTCCAAATTAAGAAAAGACAACATTATTTTGTGATCTATTTTCTATTTACTCTTTTTCTTTAATATCACGGTATTAACAATGTGGGAAAAAGGCATTAACTAACCGCACAAATAATTGTGTTTTTTTTTATCCCTACTATATAACACAAGGAAACAACATGCTATGCATCAGAAATATCGGCTATGGTTCAGCTATGTATTCAAACATAACTTCATCATTTAACTGGTAAGCGGGACAAACTTACAGGGATTGTCGGGAGTCAATGTACTTTTATTCAAACGACGTAATCATTATTTTATTACATTATTAGTGGCCTTGTCAGCTGCAAAACCACCGGGAGGCGGCCATGTTCCAAGTCCAGGAGAAGTTGATGCTGCTATCGTAAATATAAACTTGCATTACAATGACAAACTATGTTTGGAACTTCTTCTTGTGGACTGTGCCACTCATGTAACACAAGGAGACGAGATGGTATGCGGATCCGACGGAATTACCTATGCCAATCAGTAAGATACTTACATACATGTATTCAAGCTCCTTTTCTTATTTATGGTCCCCAGTTGTTGTTACACCAAAATACGGCTATATACGCCCAAGCCAATTGTATCAATTAACGCCCTTCACCCACCGTCAATATCACGCTGCAGGCCACAGTTCTTTATTTTGATCTTTATCAAGCTTTGTCAGTCTGATCATATTAGGGATCACTCGGATGAGTTTGATATGGTTCCAGGTCCAGTGTTTACTGAGAATTAAGGATCAGGATCGAAGTTAAAACTCTAATATTCTACATTGATTATCCTCTTTGAATTAGTATCTAATATTAAGTTGACAGAATTTGACTTAATATAACACTTTTTTGAAATTTTTGACATGTTTTGTGATTGAACAAAATATCGGCATTTAACAGTTGCTCCAAACATTGATCTTGATATTTTGTAAGTGGTTATCGGGCAATTTAGATTTACACTTTTAATTTGATCTTCATCAAAGTTTGTCAAAATTTTTATCTCAATGATATCTCGAACGAATTTGAAGATGGATCATTTTAGCTAAACGCCTATGTCACCAGGTCAAATCTAAGAACATCCCAGCACTATTTTAATGCACAGACACTTGGGTGTGGAGCTTAAAACGACTTTAAAATCCAAATAAAATGTATATTTGAAAATCCCAGCACGTGTACTGATAATATATATATAAATATCTTAATATTAGCCGTTTTGAAAAATAAATAAAGTTCAACGTCTATATAATATATATTATAATTTATGTATTATTATAGACGTTGAAATTTGAATTTTAAGCTCCACTACCCATAGGTCTGTGTTTTACTGATGAAGAAATCGTTGTTAACGGTATAGAAACAAGAATAAGGTAACCAGGTCAGATATAAAAAGAGAAGCCTAGTTGTATAGAGTAAGTCGAAACATTTTAAATAATCATCTTGAAACTTTATTGTTGGAAATGGTGTGCATTGCTAAAGAACAGCTCGTTTTATATTCATAGATTTTGATTTAATGCCCTTCGTTTTGTTTCAAATTTGTTCGGAGTGTGTTAAAGGTAACAGCTTATAGCTGATCTCATTCAGGGGAGGTCAGTGCACAATGATAACTCTACCTTATACAATTTTTGCATTGTTGTTCTTTGTAATTTTTCGTGTTAAATCTTTGTCTTGAGCTTGAAAAGGTTTCATGATATAAATTTGAACCTTATCTTTATGATTAAGAATACAATGACACTTCCCATCTTAGTTGTTGAGGTAATATCCTTTGCTATTTTTGATTCCGCTGATTATTTTGAAAACTGACTATCACAAAAGCTTCATATTTCACAAACCGATTGGTCGTACCTAGTAGATAATGCCTACGTCACAGGGGCCTTAAATATCAGAATGGTTACATTTATATGATAATATGTATTTTATTCAAGCTACCCTCTAACTTGGTTAACTTATTAATGATAGCTTTCATTTAGTTTCACGTCCTATATTGGTCATAATTTTTCCCATAAGTGAGCATTTCTATGTACCCATGTTTCTTTAACTCAATTACCAATAGTATGAGTCAAGGGCTATAAAGGTGTGTCGTTCAACATTTCTTGTTATTTATTGCTCTTTTTTGCGCTATTTTCATACTCTTTAATAATTTCACATACTGATTGGTCATAACAAGTAAAATGGTTTCCACTCAATTATCTTGAAAACTATTTAATTATTTATTACAAAGGCTTCATATTCCATATACTTATTGGTAATTACTAGTAGATAACCATATTTATTTTAGGGCCACTAGGCTAAAATCAAAGGACACAGGGGCCTAAATTGTTAGAATGGTTTCCGCTCATTATCTTGAAATTTTTTAATCACAAAGTCTTCATGTTTACATACTTATTTCATTATCTTAAAAACTATTTGTTATCAAGTCTTTATGTTTCGCATTTCCATTGATCATCACTAGTAGATGATTTTGAGGTCTCTAGATCAAATGTCAAGGTCACAATAACCTTAAATGTAAAAATGGTTTCCGCTTATTCTCCTGACGCCAATTAGTTAACAAGTCTTTATATTTTACATATTGAATGGTCATAACTAGTAGATGACCTTTTCTGATTGTGGGGTCACAGGTCAAGGTCACAGGGGTATAAAATGTCGGAATGATTTCCGCTCATTATCTAAAATCGATCTGTCGCAGAGTCTAATATTTCACACATTCATTGGTCGATAGATAGATAGATATTTATTCAGGTTAAAACAAACATACATGTATACATAAAACAAACACTTTAGCATTTTATATAAAACTGATGACACAATTGTAATAAAATATTTCGGAAGTTTGTCGATCAGACATAAATATCACAGACGGCTCATTAAATAATAAAATATTATAACTAAAAACAAAATCTAAAACTCTTTCTTTCCTATGACTAGATATCAATTTACTAGTTTAATAAAATGTAAGGACGTAAGTGGAAACATGTATAGAGTAGTGTGCAATAACCTCGGATTGCCCATGAAAGCCCGAAGGCTTATTTCCAATGGGGTCATAATTAAAAGATGATTTTAGGGTCACTAGGTCAAAGATCAAGATTACAGTAAAATAAAATATAAAAGTGTTTCCGATTAATAAGTATTGCATGGCTAGTCTCACAAATGTCAAAATTGGTTGAACAATTTTTGTTCCCATTTTGGCATATTTCTATAACAAAATTACCAACAGTATGAGTCAAGGGTAAGAAAGTGGTACATATGGGTCGTTCGACATTTCTTGTTTAATTTAGTTTTGTTCCAGGCTATATATCAAAATGTTGAAAAGATAACTGCTTTTACTTTCTTGGGCAAATGCCCTGTTAAGTGCTTGCAAATGGACTATCCTTTCTTTATCTATTTTTTATTAATTACTTATGTTGGGCGGGGGAAATGACAGTCGGTTGCTGTTTCTTGTTATCTTATTAGACTGAATGTTTATATCCATAGTTCAGGCTAGAAAATGGATCATTTTAGGTAAAAAGGAGTTGGTCATAAGGTTAAATTAATAGAATGCCAATGTATGCTTCGTCAGTATTTTTCTTTTCATTTTTTTCCCGTAGTTGTGTCTAATTTTTAATTTTGAAAAACTTAAATGTTAATGGTAATCTTGAGCCAATATGTTGATAAAATTGTTGTCAAATCCATTTATAATCATGTCATCCTCCTAGATGTCACTGTTTAGTTTGGATTTTAGCAATTTTCATAAGAATTAACATATCTTTTCGCATTATTTCGTCACGTTCACGTTTTCAAACCAATTATATTTCATTTTTGTGTGATGCTGTCTTTTATAGCTGTGTGTTTACACATGCCATGTGTGAATTCCTCCATTCTGATGTGCATGATCTAAAGATTAACCACCGTGGTGCCTGTACAACAGCAACCGGATCGACAATGCCACCAGCAACAGTTGCCTTAGGGTCCACAATGGCACCAGCCCAAGGATCCACAATGCCACCAGCAACAGCGGCCCAAGGTTCCACAATGGCTCAAGCTACAGCGACCCAAGGTTCCACAATGGCACCAATAACGACAACAGTGGTGGTGACAACCACGTCTGATCCTATTGGCAGTATTGTGCAAAATGTGTTTTGTCAAAACGTTGCCACAATTAGTTGTGGAAGTACTTTTGAAATCCTTTGTGGATCTGATGGGCAGTTTTACCCGAATCAGTAAGTTTTAGTTATCAGAGAAATAAGTACATCAAAATCTCAATGTGCTAGCACGGTATGTTATGATTATGAACTTTCCAGGGAAGTCAATGCATACATGGCACCCCGAGTCACGCATAATAAAAATATGTGCACTCTTAATTGTATCCGTTAACTCTGCATGCGCATATTTTATGTAATGATATTCGCATTGGATATATATTTTGATGCATAAATATTTTGATCCATAAATACATAGAGATGAATTAAGTTAAATGTGTTAATCATGTTTTTACATATATATTTGTGGCACGATCTTTGCCACAGACCGGAATGTGTGAGATGTGCCCATTGTACGTTTACACAGGTTTTAAATGTAATCTTTACTTTTTTCAGATGTGAGCTGTCAAAACAAAAATGTCAGGACCCAACGCTTACTGTAGCTGACAAGTCTACATGTCCCATTTCAGGGTGATTGTAATTGAGTTTATATGAAAGATTAATAAAAGTCATTGTTTCAATATGAAATCAATTCTTTATGTTTAACCGTTTGAATCAAAACCTCTGATTCTGGACTGAGTTCTGGTCCTTGAATAAACATATTTTTGTTGTGTGTTGTCAGCTAGAATATTGTCTTGACCTTTCCTCAGAAACTACTAGTGCAATTTCATCCACACTTTACAGGAATTTTAAGTACCAAGTCTAGTTGTGCATTTCATCGAAAGTTTCCGGTTCAATGATTTGTGTCAGAGTTATCGATCTTTGATGATTATTATTTAAAGTTTGTCCGGAGTAGCTCCTTTTTTGCAATGTACCAATAATGCAATTTTGATGAAACTTTACAGGACTGATCGATAGCTCAAGTACTTGGGCATATTGCACATGATTTCCGCTTGAATGATTTTTGGCCGAGTAATGGCACTTGAATAAAAATTGTCTTGTTTTTTTGTGTTGCAAGCTACACGAAAGCTTGTCAGAAACTACGGAATGATCAATACCAAGTCTAGTCGTACACTTCATCGGCATTTTCTGGTTCATGATTTTTGCCACAGTTATGGCAAATAAGGTTAACTTTAAAAGTTTGTTCGGACTATTCCTCATATACCACTAATGCAATTTCAATAAAACTTTACAGGATGGATCGGTTGTTTTTAGCTGAGTTATGACCCTTGAATAAAAGACGCGTTCTTGCCCTGTTTAAGATTTTTGTGTCTTCTGTTACACAATAGCTGCAACATGCAATTGGCAATTGTGATGACTGACCGCTCTTGTTTTATATGTTTTACATTTTAAAAGATATACTATGCTCATCCCTGAGTAAAATATTTTAATTACACTATGACATTTTTTATTAATATGTCTAATTTGAATAAAAGAATAAATAAATTATGTATTGGATGCTGCTTTCTCTATAATAGGCCAAGTAAAGTTGGTATTTTCTTAAATAAACTGCCAGCTTTTTAATGACACCATATACAATGTATTCATATTTTGACTATCTAAATTGTGTAGAATTTTAAACACAACATATATACTTTGTATGAATTCAAAACATGTTTTTTTATATTCACTAAGAGACTGTATAAGCAATTATCAAAATTTACTAATATCAAATTTCAGCATAGTATATTTTTAAACAGTTTTAATAGTTGTTTTAATTGAAATAAGGGCTTCACATTTATTGATAAATAATTTTTGGATATCTAAACAAATGTTTGATTCTTGTTTACAAAAATTTGCATTTATTAAAATATATACTATGTATTGTAAAATATTAAATTATAATCTTACGTATGAAGTGTGTATTTGTTAGGAACTGACAAAACCATTCATTACATCTACAGTTATAAACAGTTGCTTAACTCACTATCTGAAGCTTCTATACACATTAGTAAGAAGCATTCTATACACAGTCGTAAACAGTTGCAAAACTCACTATTTGAAACATTCTATAAAATACAGTCAAGTGGTCAATGTCAAAACTTTATAAAAACACATATCATTAAGTTATACAGTATTTTTAAGCAATAAGAAAACGTTGAATACAAATACTAACACTTAATGACAATAAACAAAACATATCTCGAATAAGCATGATATTATACTAGCAAATAAATATTTAGGTCATACACCATGCTATCAATAGGGGTATACAAAACAAAAAAAAAATAAAAAATGTATATTATAGACACATATTTTATTTATCTATTAAGTCTCAACTTTGTTTGTGTAGAAAAAGTACAATTGGAGTGTGTAGCTTTTATACAACGGCCATTCTATATAATAGACAAGAGAATCGCTCACACAAGAAACTACTGATCTCCAAAATCAAGTAAAATATTTGGTTTAAGAAATTATCAAAATGAAAAATTGTAAAAATATAGCCTAATGCTAAACGAAGTTTCTAAAAGAATGATTTGATTAAAACAATGATATATAGTTAAAAGGGTTTAAAAGCCTAAAAACATAAGATTAGTACCATGATCTAAACTTACATCAAATGGTACATTTATCTGGAAAAAATATTTTCAGTCCCATCATGTCAAAAAACCTCATCGGAGTCCCTTTAATGGTATACTTGTGAAATTGATCAAAGTCCTACTGACAGACCCTTACATGTTGCAGCGTTTTCGATAAACGTTTTGAATAATTATAAAAGTAGTTTTTCGTACATCGAATGCTTTAAAAATATACATGGTTATGTTCCTAATTTCTATTTCATTTTCAGAATATATTAATGCATTGATGATAGGTATATTTAGTCTTTTTTAATAATGTTTATAGATTTGTTTTAGATTTTATTACAAAATGCATGTGGGCATTATACCCTTGATTACACAGCATACATACACGCACGCACGCACGCCGCACGCATGCAAGCATGTATACACGCACGCACGACGCACGCATGCAAGCATGCACGCACGCACGCACACAGGCACACACACTAATACATACATACATACATACATACATACATACATACATACATACATACATACATACATACATACATACATACATACATACATACATACATACATACATACATACATACATACATACATACATACATACATACATACATACATACATACATACATACATACATACATACTTTTTCAGCTCATAAAGGGATTCATAAGAATCGCACAACCCCGTTCTATATAACCCAATTGATCTAATTACGAAGTTAAAATGACAAGCCCTTTAGTTTTGTATGTGAAAAAATATTTTATGAGAGATGTTGTTTTATCTTTTTGTTTTATCTTTCTGGGTCAACAATACATCATATTTGAGACTTATGCTCTCTGAAAATCTTGAAAACAAATAGGCTTGCCATAAAAACGTTTCTGATTGATTTCCGTATGCTATTTCATCGGATCTGAACATTTTCCCGCCTACTTCTGATACATAGGTGGCACAATCTATCGACAGAAATTCTCGAATCATGTTCCTTTCTTTGATGATAATTACCCTTTGACAGTGACAATCACCAAAGATGACCTTAAATCATTATTTCAGCGCTTTAAATACATACATGCTTTTGTGGGTAAAAAAAGTAAAAATTACAAATGTCTGATGTATTTATCCGTATTGTTTCAAACTTTATATTTTGCTTCAGTCAAGGTATGTAATGCAGCAGTCCTTGGTGAATGTGGACGCTATAGCATGTACTGTGTTACTGCCAAAAAGGCTGTAAAATATTGGTTCCGAATATTACTTATGCCAAATTATCGTTTTGTCAAAAAATCTTACCAGATGCTTTTATTATTTGATTGGTTATAAAAACTGGGCTACGAAGATTAGATTACATCTATACCAACTTGGGTTTGATTACGTTTGGGATGCCCAAGGTGTTGGTAATATTAATCTTTTTTTATTTGTTTATTCCCAACGCTTAACGGATATGGATCGTCAAAACTGGTCGAGTAAATGCCAGGATTCAAGTAAACTTTATTTTTATCATACATTTAAACTAATTTTGGCTTTGAACCGTATTTAGATTACATTAATTGATAAATATAAATACAGAAAAGACTTAGTTGCTTTTAGAACATCTTCACATGAACTTATGATTGAAAATGGGCGGCATCTGAAATTATCACGTGAAGAGAGAACTTGTATATATTGTCAAAACAAAGTAGAAACGGAGTACCATTTCCTCCTTATTTGCCCACTATATACTAGTTTACGTTTAAAGTATTTTAATGAAAAGTTCTATGTAGCACCTACTTTACATAAATTTAATATTTTAATGTCAAGCAATAAAATATCAGTTGTAAGAAATCTAGCTATGTAAATATATTATGCTCTTGAAAAAGAACTCATTTTATTAGTACATTTCCTTTTTAACAACTTGAACATGACATGCTATATATTGTTAACGCAAAATGTTGATTGAACTATAGAACTTGTCTTGTCATTCACAATTTGTATTATTTGAATGTATATTCTGTATATGTGTATTGGCTGGTTGCCATATATCGCAAATAAAAGTATACATATATCTTTAACTTTAGTGTTCCCTTGAGGTCCAAAATCTAAAAGAACCGATAAAAAATCAATCTTTTAACACTAAAACTAATGAAAGGACAGGCGTATAGTATTGCCTTACATTCGAACAGAATAAAAATCTACACTTTATATAAAGTAGTAAATTGTATTGGCCAATTATTAATTATCTGTCATTAAGATTTCAAGAATCAACTATTTTCAATCAACTCGACTAAAGCTTTTAAAGTTTTATTTCACTGAAGGTAATTTTGTTATCTACATGACATATTGGACACAGGGGAATCTTAATTGTAGATAAACATGATAAGGCCGTAAATTAACTTCAAACACGTTCAGATGACATCATGATGTCAATAAAGACGATATTTCTTTTGATTACTTTAGGTTTGCTTGTTTTCTTTCCATTCTTTTTATAGAGTGTCATATAATTACAAAATATGTATGTTCTGCAGTAATGACAATGCTGATGCTAATTGTTTAATAGAATCAATTTTTTTTCAGATATTTAGTGAGAGATTTTACGCAATCAAGCCGAGTTTGCAATTTTCATATAGATCTACAATTGTTTTTTTCATTGCTTCTTAAATTAGGGATCAATCATTTTTTCAGATTTTTATTCTTCACAACAGATGGTGCGATATGTCGTTAGGCAGCTGTAAAAAGTTATAAGCCTCGTACTTCACTTCACTGTTGTCATATCTTTTTGCTCCTTCGGAATAATTGATTCCAGCAGGTTAATTATAGAAGAAGGCTGAATACCGCCGGTGCTGGGGGGGGGCATGAGAGATGTTGCACTTTAAATTATGTCTCATGAACTGATTCACTTAAACCGAGTCTTTAATTATCTTTTAATAGTGTTGTTTTCATTGTTTCTGAGGGATCACATCTATCACACCTTTTCCAGCTTTTTAATATGAGAGCACATGCTATCTTCATGATCTTGTACTTAATCAATGCGACTGGTCTTGAATAGGCCAGGATCGCACGAAGTACTAAAATGCTGTATTTGATCCCTTGTAGTAAAATCTATGATCGACAAATGCAAAGAAGTACATCAAGATACTCACATTACGAAGCCTTTTCATATACATCCTCATACCATATTTGCAGCCATCATTCCGTATCGCACTCGTAAACATTACAGGTTTTCTTTTTTCAAGTTAGATAAATTTGCAAATGTGAAACATGCATTGAATATGGCAAGATATGTAAAGTTTATAATTAGGCCTAACGACATGTTATTTCCATCAATAGGGGTTGCAGCAGTTGCACAACATGGAAATCATGCCGGAAACCACGTCCCAAATCCAGGAGAAGTTGATGCAGCTATCGTTAATTTAAACTTGCATTACAATGACAACCTGTGTTTGGAACTTCTGCTGGTGAACTGTGCCACTCACGTAACACAAGGAGACGAGATGGTGTGCGGATCCAACGGAAGAACATATGCAAATCAGTAAGAAACGTTTTCTGTTTTTTTTTGTGGCAAGCCGCTTGAGGTATAGGAAGAAAAGATTTTTAACGAGCATAACCAACTATATAATATGTTTTATTGTTGCGCCGCAAAAATAGCTCCGAAAGTTGAAACAAAAACTCAATAAAAGTGTAATATTCTAAAGAACTCTGTATTATGACTTTAATTACACCTACAGTGCAAAAGGAATTTAATGAGCATATGTAAAATAGAGAAAAAAGAACGGAATTCCGAAAGTACGCTCAAAACGGCCAAATTGAAAATATTGCAGGCTCGTTTTGTTTGACCCTGTTCATGGATGTTAGCGATAATTGCAAGTTACCGTCCATGCTTAATCTTGCCCAAAGTTTGAAATAGAATATATTATGTCCGCAACTAATGCATGCGTAAGAGCGTCTGAAGTTGCTTAACAAATCCAAACGTTTTGGACCAGGGATATCGGCAATGTGTCTGTCAGAATTGCGATCAGCACTCCATTTCTACCTGCCGACACACATTTGCAGGGTCTTTAATAATATAGAACCATTCAAACAATCTTAAAAATATCTCCAGACTATAATTTCTGAAATAAAACAGCTACAAATATGCCATTGATTTAAATCTCAAGCTGTTTTGATTCCACTAGAATGGAGCCAATACTGGACACATTTTTAATACTGTCGGTTTGGGGAGCAGGGAGGGGGTGAGTGGGCGTTCTGAAAGGTTCATTTTTGGCTGATTTATTACGATGAAAAAATATAGAAAGTCACAGATAATTAAAAAAATTAAATAGATACATGGAAAATAATATAAGAAATGTTCTGATACCCATGAGTATATATGAGTTATTGTTACTTTAAACAATCATTGTAAACATTTTTTTTCATGTTTAATAAACTCAGAAATAACAACTTCAAGTAAAGCAAGGTTGGCTCCGGCCAGCACCCTTTTAAAGTAATTTTTATTTCTATACTTCTAAAATATGTCATTGACTAAACGTGCAGCGCGTGTACGAATATGTGTCCTATCATTTTAGCTGTGAATTTACCCAAGCAGTATGCGAGTTTCTCCATTCACCCGAGCATTTAAGTATTGCTCACCATGGTTTATGCATCATAACAACACCAGCGCCGTCAACAATAGCATCCATGATTGCCAGTATGACGACTACGATGATGGCGACAACCTCAACGGACCCAATAGCCAATATTGTACAAAATGTGTTCTGTCAAAATATTGATACCATCAATTGTGGACATGCTTTCGAACTTATCTGCGGATCCGATGGAAAATTTTATCCAAATCGGTAAGTTTTAGTTTTCGTTGAAAACAATCTCCATATTCGCATAGAAATTTTAAATTGCATATCTACTCCTCTATGTAATTATGTTTATATTCGCGGTTATACATTCAATTTAGGTGTTTTCGAAGATAAAACATATGTATTGGTTGATCATATTCGTTTCCGACACATTTTCTTTTTCATTTCATATTAGAAGATAAACAATTTACCGAACCACAACGTTACGACCCTTTTCGCGAATAGTATAATTTGAGTATAATGTTATTGTGTTCTGATTGCTATTTACCCCAATTGTAGGTTAAACTTACATAACTACTCGTGTTATTCCGTATTTGATATTCTTCATTATCGATTAGACCTGTTACGCTCTCATAGTCAAATGTGTCACTTAATTCTGAATTCTACTTTCCTTGATAAATTATAGTCGTATTCTGTCTTCAACTTATATCATCAATACTTTACAAGTAAAGTGAGGCCAAAAAGTGAGGAAATAATGCAATAAGAAAACTGCATTTTCTTGCGACACTTTTTAAAAAAACTCCTGTCTGCAGGCGATAACACCATCTTTAATCCTTCCGCCCAGGAGAATATGCAAAAAGCAACTTTTAAAAAACATGCTTCACACAAAAAGTACACGGATGCAATAAATACACTTTTCAATTTGTTCAATAAACTGGAGATGAATTAAATAAGGGCACTTTTATAGTCTAAAACTAATTGTGTCAAATTATGTACCCGGTTTGGTTATTTTTCTTGCTTATTGATTCTTGCTTAACGCGGAAAAGGAAGAAATAATTTCGACGTATATGTATAATAGTACTTGTTCTCTTATAAATTTTATGACTTTAAAGCAAGATTTTATCCAATTAACTATAAGCAAAAAAAAAAAAAAAAAAAAAAAAAAAACAAATTTGTTTTTATAATGAACAACAGCGAGGTAGATTTTAATACATTGTTCGGTTTCTTAGTGCAAGTCAAATTACCTCAAATAACATGTAACATTCCGACAGTTTAAAATATTTCGACCAATATTTCGTTTCAATAGCGTAAACATACAAACAACACTTATGTGAACTTATCTTCACAAAGACATTTAATCGACTTATTGTTAATAGCTGTGATGTTTAACAACTAAGACATTTCAGCGAGACACAGGCAAAATTTTCATTTCTTCGTTTCGAATGTTTCATTCATTATACTGTAAATTTCTACAAAATGAATGCACTAAGCAGTCACAGGAACAAAACTTTTCTTCTTATAAAGAATAAAATGGTGGTTTCCTAACTTGACGTTACAGTGTTAAGATTTCATAATTGTTGTCACAGTAAAATCTAGAAATGTTCAAGAACATGTGAAAAGAATAACTTAGATTTGTTTCAATCATGCAATATCCACAATGTCTGTAACATTAGTTTCCAGGGTTTGTTAAAGTATATGACTTGTTTAAAAAATATTCGGTGATTATATCGGCGTCTACATTTTAAACTTGTATAGATATACTTACGCTTCAAACGCAAAATATTATATAATTTATACAGCAATTCATGCTGGCACTTTAAAAAATGCTATTTTAACGTGAATTGAGTAAATAAGAGCATTAAACAATTTTTGTCATTAATATAATTTGCCTTAGTATCCCTGAGTATTTAAAATACGTGCTTTATAGATCATCGTTGTTAATAAGGCTTAAAAAGACACATGTTTTCTTCTCTAATACACGCCTGGTAAATGATAGAGCTACCTCTTTCGGGAGGCATACGGTCAATCGCTCTATCGCTACTTCCGAGCAAGTGCATGTCGCTAAAATCAAGTGTCAAGTGTTTTTTTTTATATATGTTTTGTAAATTCTACACCAACTATCGAAAATTAGAGAATGTTATGCGATGTAGATTTGATTACAGTGTCCAGAAAACGTAAAGTTGTTATAATTGTATTTGAAATGTAGTTGTGGCGGCGTTTCGCATTAGCTAATGCAGCGTTGAAATGGACTATGAAGCAGATAATTTTTACTCCAATTTTCATATAAACAGCATTTCGGATTAAAAACAAATACGTTTCAAATAGATATTAGGTCTAGAAATGAAATACGATTAAAATCAAACTAAAACATTAGTTAATAAAGAAAATATAGGATATTTGTTCTTAGAGAAAGCTCTGTCGTGAAGAAGGTAGTCATGTCGCCAAGGAGATAGTTCGACGGTTTCAAAGGGACCAAACTGATAAGGCAGAGAATGTAAAAAAGTTTTCGGTGAAAAAGATCTTTAGGATGTTGATACAACGGGTATATTCATTATGAAGAAAGAAATCAACTATTCGACAATATTTGTTTTGCATTAGCAGTTAACCCTGCTACATCTTTTACTTTTGTTTGTTTGTTTCATTTTTACGCCTTTTTCCAACAGTATTTCAGTCATATAGGCGGGTAGTTTCCTAACCATCCTTCCTGGAGAGTTACACCAGTACTAGACTACATTCCTCCGCGCTAAACTACCAAAGCATCTCCCGGGGATCGAACCCACGCCAGAGAGGTAACTGGATTAGAAGTCATCGACAGAGCGATTGACCGTATACCTCCTAAAGAGGTAGCTCTATCATTTACCTGGCGTGTAATAGTAAACTGTAAATAATTAAGACGTTAGAGATAATAGATGTGGCGAACAATGTCACTATTGCAAAATATACGTATACTTTTATTTTATTTAAAGGTGCGAGATGTCAAAACAAAAATGTAACAACCCGTCACTTACTGTGGCTGACAAGTCTTCCTGTACCTTATTAGGGTAAAAGTTGAGTAAAACATTCTGTGTACCATAGGCAAAAGACAAATACAAATACGTTATTGTTTTAGTGTTTATAATTACTTTTGTCCTTAACGGTTAAATGCTTATTTCTAAAATTGACTTGTATGGCCGAGTCATGTCGTGGGTTGCATTCTGAGAACGTCGCCTTGCCTTGTTGATATTTGTTCTCATTTTTATGCCCAGCTTCAAATTTTAGTTTGATAAAAGTTGGTCAGATACTTGTCATATCGCATGAATGTGTAGGCTGGCCTGGCTCTATGCTGATGAGAAAGGCTTATCATTTCAAGCATGGTCAAGGTAAGGGTAAGGGTCAAGGTCAGAGTAAGGGTCAAGGTAAGGGTCAAAGTAAGGGTTAGGGTCAATGTATGAGTAAGGGTCAAGGTAAGTGTAAGGGTCAAGGTAAGGGTAAGGGTCAAGGTAAGGGTCAAGGTCAGGGTAAGGGTCAAGGTAAGGGTCAAGATAAGGGTCAAGGTAAGGGTTAGGGTCAAGGTAAGGTTGAGGGTCAAGTCCCAATGACAAAATAAGTGCAAAGCAATTGTTCAGAAAAAATTGCCCCTAACTCCATCCACTTCGGTGTATATTTTTCTTGTCCTTTGGAGTAGTTAGGTGGACTCGTATAGACGACGTTGACCTCAAAGTTTTTCTATATATTCAATACAAATCCATACTCTTGGATGGGATAGAAATCGTCAATGGGCTCGTTTAGACGACCTTGACCTTTAGGTTTTCCTATATATTCAATACAAATCCGTACTCTTGGGTGGGATAGAAAATGAGTCGTGTTTTGAAGCGCTCTTGCTGACGCGTACTACAATGAGTTATGGATAGAAGGTGACAATTAAATTTTTTATAAGTCCCTTATCGATTAATAGCAGAAGATGCAATGTACTCTAAGAGACAGGACAGGGATTTCCACAGGATCAATCATCCAGTCTTATCAATTTCTATTACAAGAAAAGCATTGATGCAAAGCATCAAAGGGCGTCCAAGCAAGAAATGCAGAAAGTGAAGATGAACTAGTAGACATATGATGTCAAGATATTCTTATAAACTTTTCAATGGTTAATTGGTTTTTACCAGAATGAACGGACGGAAGACATTGTTCATTATGAACTTTGATTGGCATGCTAGAGATTAGAATATTACTTGTTATTTCTTTATGATCGTGATTATTAATAGCAACGGATATACATGTTTACAATCATTTATAATCCATATGTGTAACGCATGATCAACACCACACTTGTGGAATTGTCCCTTATTATGTAATCGCTATTAGCGAAGACCCCCTCTTAAGGTATCTGTTCCACTTAGTAAAAATATGACACTGGTTATATTACCATGTCATGTTGAGCATTATTGTTTATTATACAATAATTGTAATATCTATTTTAATAACAAAAATACAGATTTTATGAATATTGTTTTCCTCTCTTTTTTGTGTTTTTATGTGCTATTTTAATACTGAGTTTTTTACGTTTACTACTCTTTTTTATTAAAATTGTAAAATAAATTTTAAGAATTCAATTGTCATATTGACCGACGATTATAAGTCAATAGTCAGTAAATTATGGTTAATCTTTCAATATATAATATTGTTTATTCTTAAACCATGTACATGTACATTTGTATTTTTCTTTATCATTTTTTAAATTATCAATCAATTAAATAATTAATAAAATCTAATTTGTAACTTTGAATAATTCCTCGGCATCTTTACTAAGCACGAATAACAAATTAAATAAAATGTTTCAAAGTTGATAGTGTCATATTAATACCATAAAATGTACCTTTTTTCACAATTATTGTACATATTTATTGTTTTTATCTCATATTGATAAAATGAAACATGCTATTGTTGTTGTTGGTCTTTTTTTCGAATTGTATGTTTATGTATAATAATAATCAATAAATTTGAGAGTTGATCTATGTAATTATTGTAACCAAACTAAGTGACAAACATTCATTTTGGAAAAAAGCTTATTTATCTGTAAAATATTTGTTCTGTTAGTTTAAACAATATTTTATTGATAATCCACACATTTACATAATAAATTACATAAAATAAAATTTACGGATTGAGTAGGAAGCTTGTAAAGCTTTTTTGAAAACTCTCTCCGTAATCAGTATATAACAAATTTCAAATAAATGGTAACAAAATATAAATATCTAAACTAAACTATACATATCATATCGACTTGTTCTTGCTTTCTTACTATACATACTATGTTTATGTCAAGTATTCATGAACTAAATTTAAGATACATTGGTGTTAGATTAGAGGTATAAGCACAAGTATGAATTAATTTTTAAAGGGATATATTGCTTAGTTTAGTGATTGGTTAATTAAACTAATATGTTGAGAAATTTAATTAATAAAACATGTACATTGGAGGAGAAGTAATAATAGAAGAGAAGAAGAGATAAGGAACAAGAGAAAGAAAGAAAGTCACTTTACTACTATGGAGTTGGAGGACCTTTTTCTTTTCAAACGAATATTATTATGTATCAAATCTTTTTGTTTTTTGTATGTATTTATGTATCTGTGAAATAATTGTTTCGTTTTCAGCACCGGTAAGTGAATTATCGCCGTATAGTAAAGTATTCAATGTTATAGTTGTGATTTGACTTAAATTGTTTATAAGGACAGTGCGGTCATCTTGATACATGGGGCAGCGGAGGAAATAGTGTTCTGTATTTTCTATTTCACCACATATACAAAAAGGGCTGTCTATTATGTTTTTTGAAAACAGATGTTCTTTCAGAGAGCTGCAATGTGTTCTTAATCGAGTATGTATTATTTGATATCTTCTTTCACCTATATAATAGTGAGCTGGAACTTTTTGGACATCTTCATTTAGTCTTTTTTTGAAAATTGCAAGCGATGGAGCATTTCTTAGTTCGACAGGGAGATCATTCCAGTCTTTAATCGAAGATGGTAAGAATGAATTTGAATAAAGTTGAGTTTGACAGAAAATATTTCTAGTGTTACTTGCATTTCGTAAGTTGTATACTGAAGTTTGTCCTACTGTGTTTGGAACTATGGAAGATAGATATTGTGGAGATAGGTGATTGAACATTTTATATAGCAGAATTAGTTTGTGTTTATAGCGTCTTACTTTTAGGGGTTGAAAACATGTGTCTTCATACAGATTTGAGAAAGAAACAAGTTTCGTTGTACCAGTTATAATTCGGCAGGCTTCAAGTTGGATTTTTTCTAACTCGAATTCATCTTGTTGAGTAATATTATCCCAGACTACATCTGAGTATTCAAGAAGAGGCCGGATGAAAGAAAGATATATAGTTTCGAGTGATCTACGATCAGTGATGAATTTTAAAGACCTCATAATATTAAGTCGTTGCCATGCCTTTTGTGATATATTCATTATATGGGTATGCCAAGTTCCTTCAGATGAAAAAGTTACTCCAAGATGTTTGTGAGTGGTCACCTCATTTATTTGTATTCCGTTCATACTAAGGGGAGGATGGACAGGTTTATTAACCTTACGGGAAAAAATGACAGATTCAGTTTTATTTGGATTGAAGGTGACAAGCCATCTATTTGCCCATACAGTAATTTTCTCGAGATCTAAGTTAAGTGTTGCAGCAGCGGTAGCAGGATTGTCAACGATAATATACAAACTTGTATCATCTGCAAAGAGTCTGATATATGAATTTAAGTCGAGGACAATATCGTTGATATATATGAGGAAAAGAAGCGGACCTAATATAGACCCTTGTGACACTCCAGCTGTGATAGAAGCCATTTGTGATGAGCCGCCAGGAAGAACTACTTTTTGTTTTCTTTCAGAAAGATAATCGCGAAACCAATTTAATAACACACCATTTATTCCAGTAGACTCAAGCTTAGAAATGAGACCTTTGTGCCAAACACGATCAAAAGCTTTGGATATATCACAGAAAACAGCTCTTACTTCTTTGCCATCATCAAGGGCTTTACAAAATGTGTTATATATAGAGAAAAGTTGATTAGTCGTAGAGTCGTTTGGAACAAAACCAGATTGCAATGCAGTTATTGTGTTATTTGAGACAAAGAAGTTGAAAATGTGTTTGTGTATAATTTTTTCTAAAGTTTTACTAACTGTGCTGAGGAGTGATATTGGTCTATAGTTAGAAACAATTGTTGGGTCTCCTTTCTTATATACTGCACAGACATTGGCAATCTCCCATTGTGACGGGACTTTTGAAGTTCTAATTGATTTATTAAATAGACGACATAGAGGTGCAGCAAGTTCTCCTGACAGTTCCTTTAGAATTCTGTTATTAATATTATCAGGCCCTGATGCTTTGCCTACACTTAGTGTTTTTAGAGTGTCCTGAACCTCTTCATATGTAATATGTATTATATCAAGATAATTATTGTTATTATTATTATGATTAATGAGTTAGGGACAGGTTTATCCTTATCATCAAGTGAGGATTGCAATTGGAAAAAAATATTTAGTAAGTTTGCCTTTTCAGTGTCAGATGTCAACAAGTTACCATTGTCATTTAATATTTTAACATTACTATTTACTGCTGGCCTAATAAATTGTTTGAGGATTTTCCAGTAATCTGATGTGTTTAGATTTTGATTTCTTAATTTTTCCGACAGTTTTTTGGTATGTTCAGATTTAGCATTTCTAAGTAAGTGAGTTGTTTTGTTTCTTAATGTTTTATATTTATTCCAGTGTTCTTCATTATTTGATTTTTTAGCTTTATCATACGCTCTTTTCCTTTTTCTTATACATTTTCTTATTTCGTTATGCATCCATGGAGGATCTGATTGTCTAATTGTTACTGTTTTGTTTGGGATGTGTTTCTTTGATAATGATATAGTTGTCTGTGTTATATTGTTTGCATAGGTATCAATATCATTATTTTCTAGAGAATCCCAGTTATATGCAGCTGCATCACGTCTCATATTGTCAAAATTACATTGGTCATATTTCCAGACAAGACGTTTAAATGATTTAGCATGTGGTTTGTTGCAGTGAAGTAAGCAATAAACTGGACAGTGATATCTTTGTTGTTGATCAAGAAAAG